AAAATCAACCCATAAGTACTAGCTAGGTTTGAGCTTACGTGCTAGGCGTCCAACGGTGCAGACCAGCCTGGAAAACATCTTTATGCCAGTTAGAAGTCGCCTGGTTGACTGCAAAAACCACCACCGGTTTTCTGTTGTTTGGTTGGTGTCTCTATTTTAGCGCACGATTTGAAATTATTTCCTCCGCTAAATTAGAGGTTCTTCGACCTTCGACCTCCATGTGGCTGCTGCGTCGTCAAGGATGGTGAGTCAGTTTTATCTTGTCGGATCTGCCGAGAGGCGGGCGTTTGTAGCTCTGTTGGAACATATTCTGCTAGAAAATGGAGTCATTTTGATTGTGAACCCTGTCACCGTGTAGGTGAACGTCCCCAAACAGCGCAAGACGTTCTGTAAGACTTGCAAGTGCCACTCCTTGTTCAAGGTCACCCAATACAAGGCGGGGAAGGCATCTCTTTACGCTCAGGGTGAGCTGCTGTATCCAGTATAACCGTCCCTATCGCAATACCAAACTGGTGTGTGTGTCTTCAGGGAAGAGGAGGTACGATAGGAAGCAGAGAGGGTATGGGGGACAGACTAAACCAGTTTTCAGGAAAAAAGTGAGCCAATCAATGAACTAGCATGCCTCAGAAATTGTTTTACGTTTATTCTCCCCATCTTTTTTCTTTCCCACTGCGGCAATGCAGGCGAAGACAACGAAGAAGGTTGTCCTGAGAATGGAGTGCTCCAAATGCCACAAGAGAAAACAAGTCTCTCTCAAGAGGTGCAAACATTTTGAGCTCGGAGGAGACAAGAAGCGAAAGGTGCGCAGCTCAGAAACGCAGTTCTACTTATTTTATATTTTCTTTCCCGCTTTCCCTCCCTTGTCTCCTTTCTCTGTTCTTCTCTTGCAGGGCCAGATGATCCAGTTCTAGGAATACTATAATTTTTAATGTTCTCTCGTTGTAAATATTGCTCTCATCGAAGTCCGGTAAAAAAATTGTGGTCACGTGTGTGCGGGTCAAAGGTCGGCTAGTTGTTCCAACTGGAGCCCACCAGAGAATTGAAGAGCCGAGGAGCTAACAAGCTCGCATGGATCTGGAGAATTGTCGCCCCGTGAGCCATTAGCTATAGTAGCAGAAACAGTAGGCTCGGGCAGCGTGTCTGTACGTTACAAGTTCGCTGTCCTTGCCGGCGGTATAATGAAACTTGACGCTGCGCTCTCTTCCCATTTCTCTCAGGCGGTGGAAGAGGAGCAAATCGACAATCTAAACGACGAGACTTTCGGAGACGGCGCAGTAGGTTAGTCGGTCCCTCTCCTATAAACTAGCCGCGAGTCAGGGAGGTTTATGAATCGTTCTATAATTATGTAGGTGATACTTTCATACTGTACAATCCAGTGACAAAGTACAGGTGGTAACTGTCTGTCTCTGTGCTAATACAGAAGATGACTGGGAGGCAAGTCACCTGGCCAAACTTGACGGCGATGGGATTCCCCTCCCCGTCGAGGGATTACATCATGATGATGCAATCCTGGGAGCCGTAACGACCACGATGACAGCGCCCCAGAACGGCAGCCACACCCCAAAATCGTCCTCAGCAGTTGGAGAGGTCAGTGGAACCTCTCTCTAAGGAGACCCCTGAAATGAGGACACCTCTTATGGACACCTTTTCCCCCAAGAACAGTTCTTGCTTGCAATAAGGACACCTCACTAGGACACTTCTGTCCCATTGGTGTCTGAATTAGAGGATTCTACTTGTTTACCATGTCAGCTGTATTTCGCAATCTTTCTCTATTCACAGCTGGATTCCTCTCTTGCCAGTTTGAATCTGAAGAGTCTGTGGCCCTCTTCCCCCAAACAGGTTAGAAAGACCGGTTTTTGACTGGTTTGGTGGGAAGTTGTTTATCCTCTTCACTTATACTTTATAGACGTCTACGTTGGAGTCTATTTGGAGCTCACCCGAGTTGCCACGGCCGCGGGATGCCACACCTCCAAGGGGCGGAGTCCCGCCTGGTGCAATATCATTGGAGGAACTTGAGAGAACCTACACATCCTCACCCCCTCCCCCAAACCACACCCCTCCCGCCATTGACCACACCCCTCTTCCTTCTCAGTACAGCAGAAGGTATATAGAAACAGTTGAGTGGGAAAATTTGTCATTTTATTTGCCTGCTTGACTCTACAATTATTAATCGTAACCTACAAAATGCTTTGTGAAGGATCTTGATTGCTTTTATGATAGTCACATGATGTCATGTGATCTTTTGCAGTCCACCGCCACCTCCCCATATGATGTATCTTCCGCCACACGGAAGAATGCCACTTCCAATTCACGTGAGTCATGTGATCTCTCCTCAGGTCATGTGACACTCACATGATCCCTCTTTATGCACTCTGCAGCCGCTGATGAACAGAGGTGGGTGGATAATGCGCGGTCCTCCCCCACCTCCCCATCTTCTCCCTCCTCACATGATGCCACGCCCACTGCCACACCCCCTTCAACACCCACCTCCAATCACTGGTGAATCTTATTGGCGATAAAAACAAGCTAACCTTGTTGGCAGTGTCAGTAATTTAACCCCTTTCCCACAGGTGTACGCGGGTACCCAGTTCCTCCACCTCACTCCGCTGCGGGCCCCCCTCCCCGATATCTCCTCCCACACCCTCCCCTCCTCTCTCCTCACTCCCTCACTCCTTCTCCTCCTCACCACACCAGTCACCAACGCCCCAGAAATGAATACCAGCAAAACAGAGAGTGAGTTTTTGTCAACTTCATCTTTCGTGTATACATTGCTGAAAACTTCATTCTTTACTGCCACTATTTAAGCAGGAAATTCCTTGTTTTTCAGCTTGTGAATACTTTTACTGGATGGAGGGTTTTACCTAATGTATCTAGCGTGCATGTGAAAAACGAAATGGCAAAGGTTCAAATTATTTAGCTATCTCCTCCCCCAGACCGTCGCGACGTAGCGAACTGCTGAGTGAGATGAAACGCGATGGGTCAGGGTTCATGACCCAGAGAGAGAAGGAATGGGTCGTGAAGATACAACTCCTGCAGCTCCAGGGGTCCGACCCAGAGAATGATGACTATTACTATCTGGTGCGGCCCAACTTTTGTCTTTTCCACTTATCTCGCTCCAAACTCTCGTATTTTCCACTCCAAACTTCCTCCCCCAACTCTCTCGCTCCCGTACAGAACTATGTGAAGAGAAAGGCCATGAAGGAAAGTGCTGAGTCGGCATCTTTCTCCCTGGCTCTCCCTCAAGTCTCCAGGGAAGAGAAGAATTACCAGTCGGTCCTGTTTAACCGGTTTTTCCACTAACCTCACTCCCTCTCTGTTTTTTTTAAAAGGCCGGTGAAATTTGAGCAGACACTGGGGAAGCTGTCCCAATCCTCACTCTCTGCTCCTCGCAAGATGATCGACGCTCCTATTTCGCTGGCCGGGGGAGGAGAGGGAGGAGGGAGGGAGGTCACTACCAGGAAGAGACAGGTCTTACTCATCATTGAGAAGGTGGGCTTGAATTTTAGAACAGCTCCTGGACACCTAGTAATATGTCATTGAAGTTAGCCTTTCTTTACCTGAGAATCTTACCTTGGTACTAAGCTAATGCCACACTGTCCTGATTGTGTCATTAAAGTGGGCTTCTAATAGAACTGTCTCATCCTATGATTGCAGCTGTACAGTCTTGTCCTGGCTCTGGAAGATCTGGACAAGAGAGCGCTCGCTCTACCAGATGTGGAGAGAGGTGTGGTTTACACAAGAAAAGAGGAAATTTGCTCCGAGATATTTGACCTTCTTCGACTGAAGACCCTTGAGAAGGCAGGGAGGTGAGTCATGTGACAGTCATGTGATGGTCATGTGACCTGTGGATCCATCGCGCAGAGGGGAGGAGCAGATATTTCAGTTGATGACCAGCTACAGAAAGGGCAAACGGCTGCTGAAAAGAGTCATTCCTATTTTGACCGACGTAAGTCCCAGACTATTCTCTCTAACTCTTGGTCTCGAGGACACCTTTCATTTCCCCAATAATGAGTTTTTGCACACAATCTGAAATTTGTCGAGCTACAATGACTCCTCCTCTCTCTCAGGCACATGCACAGGCAGTTCTGCTGGCGATCCTCAGGAACATGTTACTTCTCCTCAAACGAGACTTCACTGATCAGGTGAACCAAACTCTTTCTATACCCAAATTCCAACAATGACAAATTGTTAGCAATTTTTGCATACCAGAGCATTGAATTTTTATCACACAAAATGTTTAGTCATGTGACTGTATTTTACCGCTGTTACAGGTGCTCCCCGATCTGATCCCGGCAGTGAAAGGGGTGATCAATCAGTGTGATCTCCAGCTGGTGACCCGCTACATACTGACTCTAATGCAGCTGCCTCCTGGATCCAAGATAGCCCCGCCCTCCATCGTCAAGGTCGCCAGTCATGAGGTAATGGAAAATTATGGCTTTTGTGATTGGGAAGTTTCTGATCGGTTGCTTGTAAACCCACCTTATAAATTAAGTAATGTTGGCATATTTTGGAAAAACATCTTCACCAGTAAAAATATTTTCTTCCACTTTTTCTTCACCGTTTTCCTCTCACTCGTGATGTCTTTCTCTCTCGTTTAACCCTCTCTCCTCTCCCTCCCTCCCTCTCTCCCTCTGTCTAGTTTGGCAGTTCCCTGCTACTGATTCTGGTGAAGAAGGGACGCGTGCTGTGTGCCTCTCCTTACAACACTCCTGGCCTCCGCCAAGAATGGTATATATACACCAGTACTGTAGAATATATGGATGATTCCCTTCCCTTCCTCCCGTAGGCTAACAACCACAGACCTCCTATGCTCCACCCTCACCCCTCACTCCTCCCTCCTCTCCTCCCTCTCCACCAATTCCACTCTCCTAGCAACCCTGTCTAAGTCCCTCCAATAACCTTGGTAACCAAGCAAATCTCTCTCATCGGGTCAACAAGTGTATTATCCCATTGCTTTCAGTTGTATGGTTTCATAACACGAAACAAGTCTATTATTATATAGCCGCATCATTTTGCATCGTTGAGCTCTCGTTTATATATATATCTTACTTTCCTTTTTGAAATGTGTAATAATTTCCCACATTTTTGCGTTGTTTTTCTATTGATTTCACTTTTTTGATCGATACAACCAACTTTCTGCCACATGCGCATTTGTGATCACGTGATAAATGTATGACGTAACACCGGAGCGATCGATCGTCGATCGACCGATTGGAGTGTGGGAGGGATCAGTTTGCGGAGCTAACAACTGGGGAACGAAGGGTTTCCCTAAGTTGCGTGGAAGCTGAGAGGCCGCGCACACGGCTCCACAGGACGGACAAAGCCTTCACACGAGACCTCGCGTCGTAGATAGCTCGCCAAGTGCGCATCTTTCAGCCCAAAACCGTATCCTAATTCGGTGCTCCCTCTTTTTTCCGGTCGGCGGAGAGAAAAGAATATCCGTCAGTTCAGTGGCTTCGTCGAGCAATACTCGTTCCAGTTTTGATTGAAAGTGACGAAGGAGGGGTCGTTTTATTTACCGTATCTCCCGCAACAAGCGCCACTTCCTTTCTCAGCCACTGGAATTCTGCGTGTCTGAAGGACTCTTCTCCATTTAGAGCCCACTATAGGTACCTGCGCTAACATGGCGACTGTGACCGATAGAGATGACGTCATCACGGAGGCGGGAGGAGTTGAGGAAGAGAGGGGTGCGGGAGGGACTTCCCCTCTTCCCTCTGTCTCAGACGATAAGAATAACGATCCGGGAGATCCTCCTGCATATCCAGGAAACGAGGGGGAGGGGCAAGAGATGGTGGTGATAGGGAGAGGAGCGACAAAAGTCGAAGAACCAACCGTCACTTTTATAGCGAAGGATGAAGCCTCGGAGAGTTCCAGTCAACCTCCTCTGAACTATGATTTCTCTGTGTCCACGAGTCTGGAGTCAGTTTATTCCACTTTCGCCGGTGCCGCTGGTAAGTATGTGTATGTGGGACAGAGGGTTGTGAGAGCGTGAGAGTAGAGGAAGAGGGAGAGAAGGAAAGAATTGAAGAAAGTAATGGATCTCGTGTATGCCCTGCCCATCATGCTCAGTCTCCAAATACCACTCCCACCAACCTTCACCCACATCTGCAACCTCCATGTCTCTATTTGTACCTTATCTCAAAGACGCAGACCCTGCTCTAGCTGTATCTTTCCTCTCTCCCTCCCTCCCTCTCTCTCGCCAGGCTATGTTGAAGGGACATTTTCTCTCGTCTGGAAGAAGAGAGGAGGTTCCTCGTCCTCCACGGAAGAAGAACAAGAACTGTTCGAGAAGTCGACTGCCACGCTGTTTGAGACCGGGATGGAGGGAGGGAAGGAATATCTCGTCATCAGGAAAAAAGATGGTGTCGTTCTAGAAAAGAAAACGGTTCGTATATCGTATCTGCAGTGGGGAATTTTTTGAGGAAGAAATGTCACAAATTTTGTGGTTTCAGTAAACTACATGTGCTAGCTACATAAATAATATGCACGGTGACCACCGAAAGAACAAAAATTTCTCCACAATTTTTGCATGATACTAACGATTTTCCTCTCTCCCCTTAGTCCGTGAGCACGTATTCCAGCTCAGGGCAGGGTTCGAAGGTCACCCCAACCACCCTGAGCAATGCCAGATCCACTGGTGGTGGTAACTATGGCAGCAGTAACTACGGCAACAGCTCCAGTAGCTATGGAGGTTACAGTAACTATAGTTACAACTACAGCTACAAATCTGATACAGGTAAAGTGAAACTTAGTGTACGTAAGAGATACAGTGGAACCCCTCTCTAAGGACACCCCTGAAATGAGGACACCTCTCTAGTAAGGACATCTTTTCTTTCCCCAAGAACAGTCCTTTGACCTCTGAAATGAGGACATTTTTGTCCCATTGGTGTCAGGATTAGAGGAGCTCCACTGTGTTTTTGAAACAGAAACTACTCAACTGCTATGCTGATAAATAAGTAAGTCTCTCTTCCGCTCTCTCCCCTCTCTGTCCAGGTTACGTGGGGCTGGTAAACCAAGCCATGACCTGCTACCTCAACAGTCTACTGCAGACTCTCTACATGACTCCAGAGTTCAGGAACGCCCTCTACAAGTGGAGGTTCATGTCAGCGGATGACGGAGCTAAATGCATCCCATACCAGCTACAGAAGCTCTTCATTCATCTACAGGTAAACTCTTACTATTCACTCATTGTAGTGAGGTATGCATACTTATTTCAGGGTTTCAGTCAGAAATTTGATATGGCTCGTTAAAATTTTGTATGAGCGATGGTATATTTTGTGTGTGGAGCTAGTCTTCATGTATAAGCCAATGTCTGTAAAATATTGAATGGTGCTGTGCGTTGCGAACCCATTCCCCCACTTGTTTTGTGTACATGTGATCTCTCTCTCTCTCTTCTGTAGACGTCGGAAAAGAGGGCAGTGGAAACGACTGACGTGACTAAAAGCTTTGGTTGGGACAGCAGTGAAGGTATATATACACATCCATTTTTGTTTTACCAAACCTTTCACTAATCTTGTCGATTTTTACATACAAAGGCTGAATGGTTAACTGAAACTGAATACAAAGTATACCACTTCACTTTTTTTCGTGGTGTTATGTCAACCTGTCCATTTGTGTCTCCCCGTAGCCTGGCAACAGCACGACGTACAGGAGCTGTGCCGCGTCATGTTTGATGCGCTGGAGAAGAGGTTCAAGAAAGACAAGCACGATGAGGCCGACCTCATCAACCACCTCTACCAGGGCACACTCAAGGACTACGTCAAATGCCTGGAGGTGAGATATTCAAGGAGGGTGTGGCTGATAGTTCCAAACCTCTTCTTCCCCTCAGTGTGGCTACGAGAGCGCAAGAGAAGACCACTTCTTGGACATTCCTCTCGTCATCAAACCCTTCGGATCCAACAAAGCCTACGGCTCCGTGGTACATCCAGTTCAATATTTCACTCATTTCCCTATAATTAGAGCAGATCACCGTCCAGTTCAATATTTCACTCACTTCCCTATAATTAGAGCAGATCACCATCCAGTTCAATATTTCACTCATTTCCCTATAATTAGAGCAGATCACCATCCAGTTCAATATTTCACTCATTTCCCTACCAGGAGGAAGCACTGGAAGCGTTTGTGGAGCCGGAGACTCTGACAGCTGACAACCAGTATAACTGTGAACATTGCCAGAAGAAATGCGACGCTCACAAGGGTTTAAAGTTCAAGTCCTTCCCCTATCTCCTCACTCTGCAACTGAAGAGATTTGACTTTGACTACTCCACCATGCACAGGATCAAACTTAATGACAGGTACATACCCATACTGTCATACCCCCACATCCCATACTGCCATTACCCCATACTCTCATACGCCCATACCCCATACTGCCATGCATCCATGTTGTTTCTCTCATTCTGACATTTCCTATTCCCCCATACTCTCATCCTATACCCACATTCCCATACTGCCATTCTCCCATTCCTCAGAATGACATTCCCCAGGATTTTGGATCTGAACCAGTTCGTACTGCCAGAAGACATGGTCTGAGTGAAATAAACTCTAATTTTTTAGTTGTTCACCTAAAAATTCCCTCTCCTCAGCTGTCGGTACCTGAGGATGTGGAGGAGGTATATCGTGACTTTGTCGTCGAGGAATTTGACCCTCGACCTCCGCCGTATAATTACTACGGTCGCTCTGGCAACACTCCTAGTTACAGCAACGCCGTCAGCTCCACCTTGTGAGTCCAATAGTACCACACTCTCTCTCTCTCTTCTCCCTCACTGTATATATCCTCTTTTTTCTCTTATCTGTTCTTTTCTCTTCCTCTGTCTGAAGTGGTGGAAGTAGCGATCATAGAACCTCGGCCAGCAGGTCACATGACGTCGACCAAACCGTTGCCGATAGCAACAACGACGAGAGCGAGGTTGCCGATGGCAACGACGAGGGGGAGGGGGAGAGAGGAGGAGGGGGGACGGAAGTAGAGGAGAGTCCTACAGAACTGACAGTTGGACAAAGAATGAGAAGAGTTAGTGTCTCTTGTGACAAGCTACAGTACAATAGTTACACATAATGTGGAGAGCCCGTTGTTGTTTGCATGTCGACAACAGCCAACTACACCCAGGACAACTCTTTTTCCAATGGGAAAACAAGAGCTGCCCTGGGTGGGATTCGAACCCACGACACTCTGCAGTCTAGGCAAGCACATACAGATGTATGCTGGCACAAAGACACTCTATTTAGAGCCAATCACAGTTTTACTGTTTTACTTATTAACTGCCTCTGAAAACCACACCTCTCTCTCTCTCTCTCTCTCTCTCTCTCTCTCAGGGACCATACGTGTACGAGCTGTTCTCCATCATGATTCACTCAGGCAGTGCAATCGGAGGACACTACTACGCCTACATCAAGTCAGTATACACCGACTCACCTTGACAACATACATACTGCATACTGTACAGTGTAATTGATTATCTTTGTTACCATAGTTACATAGCTCTGTTGCCATGGTTTCTTGTACATTCACATTCCAAAATTTTTTTCTTGTTTTGTGAAATGGCTTCATTTTCAGGTCATTTGCCGACAAGAAATGGTACTGTTTCAATGATCAGAGTGTGTCGAAAGTAAGCCGTTTACACATTCCTGAAATTACCTAATCTCGTTGTGTGTTTGTTGTTCAGCTGAATGAGGAGGATATTGAGTGTACGTTCGGAGGACCTGACAGCCGTTCCCGTGGTTACTACTCCTCCATGTACGCCTCGTCAGCAAATGCGTACATGTTGATGTATCGCCGCATCAACCGCAGCAAAAACAAAGGTCAATTTTCCACATTTCGTTTCATTTCCACGTTAGTTTACACAGCAATAATCTCAAACATCTACATACGTAATGGTTGTAAAGGTTTGAGAGAGAGAAAGTTGACTTCTTTATTTCTGTGTTTGTGAAAAGGGGAAGAGAAAGAGAACGTGATTTAGAGAAAGAAAAATAGAAATCTATTTCACTATGTGTGAAGGCAGGCAGGAGGGGGGAAAGGAGAGGAAGTGGGAGTGGGGTAATTGGGTGTCAATATCACAGATTTCCTGCCGAAGGAGGACCTCCCTCAGCATGTCCTGGAGCAGATAAAGGAGGACCGGCGGCTGCAGGAGGAGAAGAGGAGACTGGAGGAATATGAACGCAGCCTCTGCAAGGTGAGCCTCATTTGACCCTGTTTTGCCATTGAATTTCTTATTTGCCATATTTTTCGCTGGGTAAACGTAAATGCATGTCCACTGACACTTAAGAACACCACTGAAATGAGGACACCTATCTAATAAGGACACCTTTTCTTTCCCCAAGAACAGTTCTTACACGCAATACAACCCCTGAAATAGGACACCTCACTAATATGGACACTTTCTTCTGTCCCGTTTCTCTCTCTCCTCAGTTCCGGCTGTTTTCCCGCCACCCAGTGAGCGGTGAGCTGGTGGAGAAGAAGATTGAGGTTCAGAACCAGTGGATCCTTCGAGACACTGTCACCGAGGCACACAAGGTAGCACATCACATCTCTCCTTCTCTTTGTTCTCTCTCTACTGCGTAACCTGGCTACACATGTACGTACATGCTATGGCCTATAATTTCATGTTAATAGTCAGTGTGAGATATATAGTGTAACAGAGTCCGTGGAATGTGGGTGCATTATAAGTTATTACGTAATGTCGTTGCTTCGGACACACCCACAGATCCTGGAGCTACAGGACGTGGTTCCGGTTGCCAGGTGTCGACTGGTCCGGTACGATGAGTACTCTGAATGCCTCGACCAGTCCTTTGACGAAAACGAGGTATGACATCATAATGACGTAATAATATGGCGTGCACATGGGCTTAGTTTTCTCAAGAAGTGAGGTCAGGCTATTTGCACCCTCCAAGTTCCACCGTAGTTCCCCTCTCCCCCCTCCCCCCTCCCCCCTCCCAGGGGATGGAGGAGACGTTCAGCATAATGGTCGGAGGCCCACGCAACTACTATTCCTTCGAGCTGTTTCTGGAAATGAGAGCCGAAGACGAGGTCTTCAAACCCTACAACAGAGGAGGTCAGTTTAACCCTCTGCTCACCGTGCTTTTAACTCTTTAGCAGCTACCTTTGTTTTTTTAACTCTTTCCGATGGAGTGACCCTTGCTCTAGAAACAATGTGCAATAGCAGTATTTAACCCCTATTTTGTGTTGTGATTTAACCCTTTATGAAGTGTACCTGTTCGCCTCTACTTACTTGCCTGATATGTCACAGTCGTATGATTTCATTGATTAACCCCTTACCAACAGGACTAAACCTGAAGATGCTATTGGTCAATCTGGAGACCCTTAAGGTTGCGTCGCCCGTGGCGATGAGGGCAGAGCAGTCTTGGACGGTGCTGACACTGAAGGAAGCCGTGTCCGAAGTAAGATAATCCGTTCTGCTTGGATGCTCTGTTTATCCCTCCCTCTGTTGTGTGATAGAAGTTTGGTCTGTCGGTGGAGACGATGAACCTGGCAGTGGAGACGTACCAGAACGAAGGGAGGCATCTCGCCAACGACTCACACCAACTCAAACACGAGAGCCTGTTCAAGAAACACACAGTCAGTCACTCGCACATGACGTGGCTTTCCCCTCCTTTTTCATTCCCGTACCGTTCCTTGTCTTTTTCTGTTCCCTCTGTGATTGATCTCTCTCCTCTCTCTCAGATATTTGCTTGCAGTGACCCTGAAGACTTCCGGAAGCCATTCAAGGAGTCGGAGATGAACAAACTGATCGATGTCCACGTCAACTCTATTCTCCTCTATGTCACCATCCCTCCCCCTCCCCAGAGACCTGGTCAGATTCCCATTCTGTCATACTCTAAACTGCCATACCCGATTCTGTCATACTCACACTCTGCCACTCTGCATGCACCCATTCTGTCATTCTCCCATTCCCATGTCACTGTGACAATGCAGCTATAGCTACGACCACAGCAGAGACAACTGAAGAGCGAGATGAAGAGAGGGAGGGGGGTGTGGCCATGGAGAGTTCAGTGGATATACCGGCAGAACAACCGGCAGCTGATACCAAAGAGGCTCCCCCCACTACGAGTGAGGGGGCAGGAACTGGGGGGTCAGAAATTAGCCCCCCGGAGGCCCCGCCCCCGACAGAGGACGCAGTAGACATGACTAAAGATAGACCTCTCCAGAGGAGTAAGCCTTTATTGCTTGATGGTTTTAGTTACTCAATTTGGACGAGCATTCTGCAATACTTACTCTTCATCATACAAAGTTGGCTTAATGTTTAAATGTTTAAAGTTCATATAATTAATTTTGGTGTGTTCTCAAAACAGCGATAGAGGTTCGTATAGACAGACGCAGTACTCTGCAAGATCTGAAGGACATGTTAGTGGATTATGTTCAACAGCCGAGTCAACGACTTCAAGGTTTGTACCACATGTATGACACATGTACAACTACACACAGCTTTTATATTGTGTGGTAATGCTGTGCTACTGCTCTGTGATGATGTAATGAGGGGGCGTGTATTATCTCCTCCCAGATCTACCGTCTCTATAGCAACAACCAGGAGTACGAGATGAGTCGACTCAACGACCACCTGACCACCATGCCGCGGGAGACACAGCTCATCGTGAGACTCGGTCGAGCCCTGCAGGCCGGGGAGGTCAGAGTCCGCCTCTCTCTCCTGCGAATGGAGGAGGCCGAGGTGAGAACCACATTCCCAGAATTCCATTCTCTCGTGTTAACGAGTCACATTCTTAAAATTAAGTTTTACACATTCTACTGCCACATCAAAAATCTGTTAATAATCACATTCTCATAATTAATTTTTTTCCCTCGGTCAGTTGTATGAGGTCCCATTCTAAGTTTTCCATTCCCCCGTTCCCCAGTTCTGCAAGCCGCTCATGGACTCCATAGTAACCAAAGGAATGACAGTGGGGGAGTTCAAGAAGCAGCTGGTTCGCGAGGCCTACAAACAGGGAATAGAGTATCCACTGCAGATTGGCAGGTAATTGTCCCGTTTTACATTACCTCTCTCCCATTTCCCTCTCCGTTCTTCATCTCTCCCTCTCTCCCTCTCTCCACAGACTGCGTCTCCGTAAGAAGACGTGGCGGACTGCCAGCACCATTTACCTCGACGACCAGGTGTTTGAGAGAGACATCCACGTCTTTGCCAACTTCGAGATCTACGTCGAACCTCTTAAAGGTAGGTATTACCTCATTATGACATCATCACCTTTACATCACCATAATTTTCCTCTCTCCCAAGAAAACGTAAACCTTCTGTCCGAAATTGGGACTTGAAATTATGGCACACAAAAAACTTTCACTTTATGGTAGTGTTTAAGATTCTTTATAGGGGGCCAAAACCACCCTCGAAAATAGTCCATTACATCATACTTATGACATCACCATTACATAATCTCCACAGGTGTGGAGCCGATGACATCACCAGACCAGATGCAGATCTACCTGAAGCGCTGGCATCCTTCCAGCTACACTGTTGACCATCCTCACGAGATAATCCTGGACCAGAATAGCCCCGCCCACCTGCGCATGAGGATATCAGAAGCCAGCGGGATACCCCAGGTATTATATATAATATACGTATACATTACTGTTCGACATTGACATATACAGCAATGAACTCCTCTAATCCAGACACCAATGGGACGAGAAGAAGTGTCCATATTAGTGAGGTGTCCTGAGCATTATACAGTGGAACTCCTCTAATCCAGACACCAATGGGACAGAAGAAGTGTCCATATTAGTGAGGTGTCCTGAGCATTATACAGTGGAACTCCTCTAATCCAGACACCAATGGGACAGAAGAAGTGTCCATATTAGTGAGGTGTCCTGAGCATTATACAGTGGAACTCCTCTAATACAGACACCAGTGGGACAGAAGAAGTGTCCATATTAGTGAGGTGTCCTGAGCATTATACAGTGGAACTCCTCTAATCCAGACACCAATGGGACAGAAGAAGTGTCCATATTAGTGAGGTGTCCTGAGCATTATACAGTGGAACTCCTCTAATCCAGACACCAATGGACAGGAAGAAGAAGTGTCCATATTAGTGAGAGGTGTCCTGAGCATTATACAGTGGAACTCCTCTAATCCAGACACCAATGGGACAGAAGAAGTGTCCATATTAGTGAGGTGTCCTGAGCATTATACAGTGGAACTCCTCTAATCCAGACACCAATAGGACAGAAGAAGTGTCCATATTAGTGAGGTGTCCTGAGCATTATACAGTGGAACTCCACTAATCCAGACTCCAATGGGACAGAAGAAGTGTCCCTATTAGTGAGGTGTCCTGAGCATTATACAGTGGAACTCCACTAATCCAGACTCCAATGGGACAGAAGAAGTGTCCCTATTAGTGAGGTGTCCTGAGCATTATACAGTGGAACTCCTCTAATCCAGACACCAATGGGACAGAAGAAGTGTCCATATTAGTGAGGTGTCCTGAGCATTATACAGTGGAACTCCTCTAATCCAGACACCAATGGGACAGAATAAGTGTCCCTATTAGTGAGGTGTCCTTATTGCAAGAACTGTTCTCGGGGAATAAATAATGTGTCCCTATTAGAGAGTGTGTCTAACACACATTTCAGAGTAATTGGGGGACACATAGAATTAGGGAATTAAACAATTTGTAGAGAGAGAGAGAGTGTGTAATGTGTGGAGCCGTAACTGCAGGAGTACGTCATGTTTGGCAAGGCTCACAACTCGTTCCCCGGCGAGATCTCCGTTCTGGATCTGGAGGATGATCTGGAATGGAATCCGAAGGTCACATCGATCAGCTCCATGCCCCTGTCAATTTACGACGACGGGGCCGTCCTCTACTACAAGTGAGTGTAGATGGTGTAGATAGAGGAACGGAGGAATTAAGTTGAATGTACGTGTCGTCTTGCTTTCTGCAGAGATGGCAGAGAAAAGCTGATGGACCTCACTGCCGAGAAAAAGAATGAAATTCTGAAGAACGAACGGTTAGCAGCTTCTTTCCTTCTCCTTCTTTAACACCTTGTTTTAACCCTTCTCTTCCCCACACCTCTGTTAACCCTTTCCCACCTTTATATACCACTGTTAACCCTTCTCTTCCCCACCTTTCCATGCCACTGTTAACCCTTCTCTTCCCCACACCTCTGTTAACCCTTCCCCACCTTTATCCTTCTCTTCCCCATCCGTTGTTTAACCTTTTCCCTCCAGAACCAAGTCCACCAGCCACAGTGGCGGCAGCTCATCCTCCTACCGATATCACGCCAAAGAGAAAGCCCTCAAGATCTACACTGAAGACGATGAAGAAGAAGAAGAAGAGAAACAGGATGAAACGGCAAATGGCGGCAACTGACGGAAATGGGGGACGAGATTGCAAACTGTGTGTTTTGAATTTGAACGGCAGTGTTCTCTACACCTGTCTGAAAGACAGTTTTTTTCTTGAAAAAAAAGCGTATTATGATAATTCACTTCTAATTGCATTTTGTTGTTTTGTAAAGGCTAGCCGTTCTGTACGAATTGTAAATGATGTGTGATGGATTTATTATTTAAAACTAGATAATTATGCTGCATCTTGCTATAATAGATTTGTTTGACTGCTAGTTATTATACCCAATCACGTAACCAACGCCATATACGCACATGATATCTACGTGGAATGTGGGGGATGTTTACACATTCTGAAAGTGTTCGAATACCTGGTCGCCTTCATTCATTATCACCACGCATTTTGTGGTCGGCCTATAAACGACGGGTGCTAATTCATCGGCAGTCTGCGGGCATACCGCGGTACGCTGCCCTCCACGAAGACTCTCACAGTTTGACTTTGGTTATAAAATGTTCCCCCGAGGGGGATGGGCCGCACCCAGCTGTAGTGCAATACTGGGGCAACCCGTGGAAGGGGCGAAGCAAGCTTCGGTCCACCTTCCGAGAGAAAAAAATTGATGTAATATCGAGCGGGCAGTGCCCGCGTACCAGATATTACACTGGTAAGAACAGTTATTTCTACTTGATCTTAGCCTATAGGCCGAGAAGCGATACCGTAGCCTTTTTCTGCGCCCTTTTTATACCCAGAGACTGCAGCAACAGTTGTGGTGTTTGCAGAAATTCATAGAAACAGGATATCGTTCGATAATCGCGATGTCGGGGACTGCGCATGCGCGGACAGTTATCGGGCATCCGTTGAAGTCGCGTCATCCGGTCGTCAAAGGTTAGTTTATGCTCAAGAATTCGTCCTTTGTTAGCACTTTCTCATAATGCCTTCACTGCTGCGTTCAATACCAAGTTCGTTCACTATTAGCACTGTATGTTCCGCATAATAATAATAATAATGAATTCACAAAGAGTTCAGAAAGTTGTAGAGAACTGTGTGCCATAGTGTGGGATTGTCCATGTATGCTGCATGTCCCGCTCCGGGGATCACCACCACTCTGTGGTTGGGGAGGAGTTTCAGATGTCTGTAGGACCATTCCCCGAGACGTTTGTCTTTCTCTCCATAGACTATTGCTGTTGGTACCTTGAGAATGGAGGGAGAAAGAGAGACAAGCGAGTGAGATATGTATTACTGCTATTCCACCCTCCAACTATAGTCAAAGTTTGAGGGATGGTTGGTTTGTCATTTCGTTTACTGATATTCCTGCAAAAAATGCGATACCGTTCATCATACCCTTATTGGTGGGGGGAGGTGTTTGAGGGACAGCGAAATAGAAGTGAGATAGAGCAAGATGGGGATAGGTAAAGCAAGATAGTGTTGCTATTCCACTCTCCAACTATAGTCAAAGTAATAGGGATGGTTGATTTGTCATTTCGTTTACTGACGTTCCTACAAAAAATGCGATACCGTTCATACCCTTATTGGTGGGGGAAGGGACGGCGAAATCGGGTAAGGTATGGACTAGGTACAGCAAAATAGTGTCGCTATTCCACACTCGAACTGTATTAGGGATGATTGGTGTTCATTGTTGCAGACATTTAAGGAATTTCTGACATTCCGCTGTAGGACGGAGGGAAAGGTTTCTGCATCCTTCCTTCACCTGGATACTCTCATATTTGTCGCTGAACTTGTCAGAGTCCACAGGAGCCACGGGTACAAACCCCCTCATCTTGTCGGGGGATTCAGTGAGGAAAGGGAGAGAGAACCTCCCACTCATGGAGGGACTGACGACCACGACAGGCGTCGTCACCGACAGCCGGGGGAGAAGATCACCGAGGAAGTGTGTCGGGTCTTTCAAGGCTCCTTTTGAACTCCATAACCTGTCGTTTGGAGACAAACAGTTTGCTAATATATACAGTGGAACTCCTCTACTCCAGGCACCGACGGGGCTGAAGAAAGTGTCCATATTAGTGAGGTGTCCTTATTTCAGTGAGAAGGCCTAACCAACAAACTGAATAATCGCGAACCTGTTGCCATTGCTGTTACAACAGTTGCATTTTTCAACTCTCGCTGAACATATTACATAAACTACATAGATCAGACATATGATACACAGACTCTTTCTGCCTCTTGATGTTGACCAATCAGATTCAATTCTCCCATCCCTCCCTGTCTCACCAGGCAGATCAACGGCCACGGCTCTATGACCCATGCCTCCCAACATCTGGAGAGTCCTGATCTCAGTCCAGGTCTCCGACGTGAAGGATTGTCCATGGAGCAGTAACACTGTCTCCTTCTTGTCTCCCTGCGGAACCACTTCTCTGTAGAATACCTGGCAATCCTAGTGACATCACCATTACATCACATCAATTACATCATTATTGCAGCATAATTATTTAGGTCTATACATGTATTCGGTAAATATGGAGTATAGAAAGTTGAGTCACTAACTTGAGCTGTGATGGAGCCTGTGGTAATTAACATGTCTTTGCTTCTGGCGATGATGTCATCAGGAATAGCCGGCACCGTGAGGCTTTGTGGGTGTGGGGTGTGGGTGTGGCTGTTGGGCGGAGTTCCACTGTTAATAACATTTCCATGATTTGATTGTTCGCATACCTCATGGATTTTGCTCACGTCATGTGACTGTTTATTCGTGTCATGTGACATTGCTTTGATGTCATGTGACGATTTCCGGCCAAACAGGAAGTAGACGATGCTAACAATGATGAACAGACCAATCAGAATTCTGACCAGCCTGGACCCATCTTGAACACTGTAAATGCCATATTTCATCATCTATAATCAGACATCAGATACACTCAGTCAGCAATGGTCTGCGCATGCATGATAGGACCGATATTCTACCTTTTCCGAAGTATTTTCCCGTCCTGCGGACATAAAAGAGTTCGATAAAGATCCTCTTGTTACACGTACATACACGCCCCTGGGCCCTGTGCTGCTCTGCGCACGCGCACAACACAAACATTTATACACGACACGCCCCCACTACTATTGCGATCCGATCGTAGGGGGCGTGTCGGCTCAGACCGAAGCTCAGGCCGAGGCTCATGCATTTTTAGCTAGCTAGCTGACCAAAACTGTCGAAAGAGAAAGACGATCTCAAAGAAAGTATGGAGAATGAAGCGAGCGAAGCGGACGTTGCCGCCGTGACGGAGCGAGAGATGAAGGAGGCCGAGGAGGGATCGGAGCAGAGAGCGATGCGGCTGAGGAAAGACCATGAGACGAGAGAGGAGCTCGCGGCTGTAGAGAAAATGAGGAAAGTGAGCCGCTCTTTTTCATGTGTGTGTGGCAGCTGCACCCACGCTAGAACACCATTATTGTGAGACGGTGGAAACTCGTGTCTGTGTGGGCTTGCCTTTTCTAGACGCAGCGGCTTGTCAAAAGCGCACTTTGCGAATAGCTATTCACACAGAGTTCTTTTGCAAAATACGACAGCGTTTTGCTTCAACAAACCTACAATAATATAGCTATCTTTGCCTGCTACTAGAATCTATACGCTAGGACCCGCTAGTATAGTGTCGATGGTAGAATAATGTTCAGTCCTCAGGGGAAAATAAGACGAGTGACCCAGCTTCCTACACACGTCCCTTTTCCTCCGCCGTCCTCTAGTGAAGCATAGTAATACTAGACTGGCTATTGTACTAGAAGAATAACATTCCATGAGGTAACAAACGATTGTATATAGTTTGTTAGCTGCAGAGATTTCCCCTCCGTAAGGAAAGATGTTCATAATACTGCATCCCCTGGCTTCAGTGTACAAATATCGGGTCTGTGGTGTCATTTCAACTGCACTCGGCTGTTTTCAAAACATTCATACACGCTATTGGGGGGGCGGGGGGTGTCTTATTAGACAGGTATCCTCAGAGGTATCTGTTTATAGAGGGGTTCAACTGTAATACGAATTGAGGGGTTCATACCAAATTTTATCCAACCCCCTCAGGTTAAAGGTTCCCTCAAGACAATGTTGGCCAACAAGCTAGAGAGAACGCAGCTTCAGAAATTGCGTGGGATGCCACTAGTAGCTTGTAGACCACCCATCCTAAAGAGAAGGATTTTATACAAAAGCATGAAGCAACGAGTCGAGAACGAAAAACCTGATGATGATAAGGAGGAGAAAAAAGATGAGAAGAAATTGAAAGCGAGGCGAAAGTCGTGGGTGGTGGGACAATTTGGTGATGAAGGGGTTAAAGATCTTCGGAAGGGCGATGAGGAAGAGTTAAAAGACCTGCGCAGACTGGAAGTGGTGAAGAAGAGGTTAACGGAAAAGGAAAAAGTTCGTGAACAGGCGGTAAAGTTTTTCAAACATCGCTACGTCCTCGATCCTGAATCGACGCAGAAATCCAACACCATCCTAGTTACGGGCTACGAGCCGTCGCCGAGCGAGACCTGCTCCGCTGTGGAGTTGATACGGCAACAGAGTTCCGTCGTCATTAACAACTTCCTCGACCAGCCGATCACGTACCATGTCCTCTCCAGACTCAGCGACTCCGAGAGAGAAAATTTAGAACGAGTTGTCGTCGATGCCAAGGGAGGCAGGGGAGGGGAACATGTGTATTCCTACGAACCCCTCTCTGGAGGGGGTCTGGAATTTGGGGAAGCCAGGGGGTCAAAGAAGGTCAGGTTTCAACGTGGCGCTAGTTTGGAGGGAATTGGGGAGGAGGGGAGTGGTCGTCATGACGATGATGATCATGTGATCCCGAAAGCCAAACACGTTCGAACTAAATCGGCACCCGATGTGACCACACCCCTTTTCCCTCCCCCTCCCCCTCCCCCACCCTCTTCCTCAGTGATGGAAGACAAAACCTCTCCCCCACCTCTCGTCCCCATGACGATGACAGCTGCGTGTGCCCCACCCCCTAATTCAACCCAGGTCCCATTCCCATCCCAACCTGGAATGCAGAATGGGAACGAGCCCGTACCTTCTCCGCCTCCAGTACTAGTACGTACGCCTTCCTACATCTCTGCAATGGAAAGTGACGAAGTAGTCGAATTGATCGAACCACTGTCACCCAAACAGCCTTTGAAACGCAAACTGTCGAAAAGTCCGCAATCTCCACGGAAGAAAACCGGGAGTCCTAGAAGAGAGAGAAGGCTGTTTTCGAGACGAAGTAAGAAGAAGGTGAGGGAGAGGGAGGAAGAGGAGGAAAAGATAGGGAGCTACTTGGCTCTGTCGTATGACACGAGTTCCCTGGGCCTTGACGAGGGGGTGGAGCTAAGGGGTAGTCATGATGACATCATTATTACATCAGCAAGTGCAATGAAAAATGGGAGTGGTTGGGAGAGAAAGGATTCATCTTCGTCTCCTTCTGCTTCTCCGAAGCCGAAAGAACATGCCTCAAATTCATCAAAATTTCCCTCACGGCAAACCCATGAACCCCCACAATCCTCGGGCCCCTCAGAACCTCATGAACCCTCTAAATTACCTCAGCGAACTTCTGAACCCTCAAAACCTTTTGAACCCTCCAAATCTTCAGACCCCTCAAAACCGGCACAACCCCCAGAATGCTCGCAAACTGTTGACCCCTCGCGACCTCCTCCAACACATCATCGATTAACCCCTCAGTTCTCCATTACATCGCTCCCTGGCTTAGACCCCGCCCCCAGGAAATATTATACTCCAATCTCCCCCCGCGTTGACAAGGTAATGGGCACATACGCCACAAACCCTTTTGCCAGGGATTTCGACCGAGCTCTTCAAGAACAGGCTTCCTCTGGACCAACACCGCAAAACCCCACCCCTTCCGTTACCCGTAGCAACACCCAACTCCCCGACGACATAATGTCCGACGAGGGATTCCTAGAATTTCTCCAGATGAACGACGCAAAACCGAGCAGATCAATGTACATAACCTACCAGATCCAGCTGATAAGCGAAAAAATCGACTCGAAATACGGCATGCACTTGAATCAAGCGTTGGACGCAATAATTCCAGAGATAATTGCCAATAGCGTTTCCTGGGAGAATTTCAGTGCAGTTTGTCGCTCTCTTCTGTTCAAAGGCGAAGGTTTCAAGGACGGGCTCTTCATCGTTCCAGCTTTCGCCAAACGGTTGCTAGGGTTTCTGCCGGGAATGCGTGATGTCATAACTGAGTACACGGAGGCTGTGCTGGAGGAGTATGCGATGGAGTGGCTGCTAATGAGAGGAGGATGGGTGGGTTTGGAGTGAATGTGCTATTCCCATCTTGTTAACACTAGCCACCAACACATGTGCCAAGAGCCTCCATAATTATATGGGGGTTATAATACTAGGTGCTATTACTTTATTTAAGCTGATCCCAATGGCATCCAAAGGGTTAAAAATTGTTCAGATCACATAATAATTATACTTCCCGTGGTGTATTTTTAATACATAGTGACTGTATGTCCGCAGGGTGAGCTGCTTCGATACAGAGAGGAAGAAGAGAGGGGAGGGGAGGAGGAGAGAGGAGAAGGGGAGGAGTCGAGTGACCACATGTGGGTGTGGCCAGCCGAGGAGACGCGGGAGTGGTGGGAGGAGTCACGAGGAGAGGACTCGTTCCACAGAGCCATGGGGTACGGAGTTGTCACCCCTGGACCAGAGGTGTGAGAAACAATTGCAGCTGCATTCTTCTTTAGACCGTCATTTCCGCTCACTTGTTTACAGAAAGTTTTTTTAAATTTCCCACAGTTTCAAGGAAGGTCGTTAGCTAATCCAGACATTGCTCTCTCAGTAAGTTGTTATCTTCTTCGTAGTCTTCATTTTCATAGTTGGTGTTTTCAGGATGTTGGGGGTGTTGTTGAAAGACAGGTTTGTGACCATGACGACAGACCACACCCCCAAGAAGCTCCTCCCACTGTCCCGGGGATGGAAATGGGCTCACAGCTATTCCTCTGGCCCGTCCAGGAGATAACTCCGCCCATTGGGCGTGGTCTCCGTCGAGTCATCAGTGTAGAGGTTCTCTTCTCGACCACCAGTGACTCTGGTGACATGGAGACTGAATTTTCCCTGAATAGAGCATCGCTGAGTCGGGTCTCTTCCCTCCCCTCCATCTGCAGTTCCATTCTGAGTCCAACGTCACCCGTCTCCATTCCATCCCCGAGGAAACGCATGTCCGCAGACCGTTCCAGCGGCAGTCCCTCCTCCCCCTCCGTCTTCACTCTCCCATCAATGAGAAAGAGGCCACGCCCACTCGACAGCACCAGTAGCCAAGCAACCTCGGTGTCTTCGACTACATCGTCCTCTGACTACAGACGACAATCGTCTTCTTCAATAAGACTGGTTGGCGACCCAGCATCACCGGTACCCTCTTCCCCACTCACCAGCAGAGCAAAGTTTGAGGAAACTTCTTCCAGACCTTCCGGACTCGTATCTAGGGCGTCGAGAAGTAGGAGTGAAGATAGGAAGATTGCTGGTGGGGGTGGTCAAATTGTAACCACACCCACTCCTAACGACACACATTCTAATCAATCCTCCAAGTCTCCGCCTACTGTGCAACAAAACGGTGGCGGTTTCCACGACAACCACCAGACAGCAGCATTGCCCACTGATAATCCACCCACTGTGGAACCCGGTAGTGGTATCCATGACAACCAAAAGACCACACCCACCAACAACGAGCCATATCCGATTCCAGTTCAACGCTCGGTAACAGATTCATCGGAAGGTAGCTATGCCGATTACGGACTGAGAGAATCAGGGGATGGACGTATGACAGAATGGGAATGGAAATTAGTCAAAATATCGGCAGTTTTACTGACAGCAGCAGCTGGGATAGCTGTCGCTTTAATCGTTCTTAGAAAAAGACTATAGACTTTACTTTTTACATTCACACAATATTGTTAATACACACCCAACACAAAAAGATATTTTTAAAAAAATTTCTACTCTTCAGAGACGGAAAAATAAGAAATCGACAATTCACTGACTGCTCAAAATATCTGTGAAAGCTGCTCAAAAAAAGTGTAATTTGTGAATGCATGTGCATGTGGGCGACACAAAAATTACTTGTGCAAGACTCAAGCCTATAACAAAAAAATTATAGGATTAGGACTATAGGATAATAATAGTGAAAGAATGAAAACAATGTATTCTAATTAAAATAAGTTCTCTAGTGCACGAGGGGTGATCAAAATTTAGAGGATATTACAAGTTTTTTTCTTCTTCTTTGTTTTGACGGGCGTCGGTTTCTGAGCCTGTCGAATTACGCGGACGAGGTCGTGGAATGCCTTGTCGACATGGATACGGTGTTTTGCACTCGTCTCCACATATTTGATCTGAGTAGAGAAAATAGGAGTTAAACTTGTGGCCCCATATATTTCTCAAAGACCCCCTTGTTCTCCAAATCCCTGATACACCGATTATCATCTCAAGATACATGTAGGCCCACGAGTTGGTGGCTAAACAATCATAATTAATGGCATAAAACTGGCATCACTGAGCTTTGAATCAAGACACTGACCACAACAGCTATAAATCCAGCTATAGTTCTAGTTTCTACGTACCTTTAGTTCTGCAGCAAGTCCTTCTCCGTCTGGTCCGGACACGACTCTCTCTCCCTCTAGATCTGCCTTGTTTGCCACCAGTACCATCGGAAATTCAGGCCTGATGGGGTTAAATGTGAAAACCATTGTGTGACAGTTGATTCAAAGTAGCCAGCTAAGCTGCCTAGCACAGTTGGCTGAGCTGAATCAGCAAGGAAGAGCACTATGTTACGAGAGATCTAAAAACTGAGGCAGCTCAACTAGTACCAGCAAGTCCTAAAAGTTCCCTAATAATACTCTTACCTGTCCTTCACCCTGAGTATTTGCCGGTAGAATTTCGGGATTTCTTCGAAGCTATTTCTGTCGATGATGGAATATACTAATAGAAATCCCTCTCCTGTATGCATGTACTGTTCTCTCATGGCACTGAACTCCTGCATCACATGAAGGAGAGAGGGAGAGAGGGAGAGAGAGGGAGAGGACTTTGAACAGGGCACACTATTGGGACAGTAAGGCCGTCTATTATTCAGGTGTCCCTTATTCGGAAGTGATACTATACTCTATTACGTAGTATGGTACGAATCAAGTGTTCATTATTTAGAGTTTCGCATGTAGCATTAACGAGCTCCTCACTTCCTGTCCAGCGGTATCCAGGATGTCGAGCACGGCAACCTCATCATCAATGACACACTGTTTCCGATACGAGTCTTCAATTGTAGGGTCATACTCTTCCACAAAGTGACTCTAAAATTGATATCGAAATTTCGACTGTAAAACATTGGCCCATTATATGATGGTTGTGCAGTTTTAAAACGGCTGGCATGGCAAGTGAGGGTCACCATATAGGGATGTAGGTAATAAGGTAACATTGGCAGCTGGTGGCAGTGTTACCTTACCACCAGCCAGTCTCCAACGAGAGGGCAATCATAAATAACAACTCAACTGTAAACACTACCAACAAACACTCCCAATGAGGGGCATAATACCTCTAACTATAAACATTAAGGGGGGATTTGAGATTAAGGGGGGAATTGAGATTAAGGGGAGATTTGATATTAAGGGGGGATTTGAGAAGAGAGGTATATATAATATAGGGAGATATAAATATAGGAGAGAGAGCAAGAGGAAGATAGAGACGAGAAGGAGAGAGAGTCTTATTTCTGTATCTTGTACCTGAATGAACTGGATGGTGAGTGCAGATTTTCCGACACCTCCTCCACCCACAACAACTAGCTTGTACTCTGTTAAGTCTTTGGACGCTGCCATCTTTACGGAGAATAAGGGAACACATACATAGTACAGTGGAACCCCTCTCTAATGAGGACACTCCTGAAATGAGGACACCTCTCTAATAAGGAAACCTTTTCTTTCCCAAAGACATTTCTTGTGTGCAATTCAACCCCTGAAATAAGGACACCTCACTAATATGGACACTTTCTTCTGTCCCATTGGTGTCTGGATTAGAGGAGTTCCACTGTAAACAGAGATGAATGAGAGCCTGAACTCCGCCCACTTTGACTAGAGTGTTCCCCCGACACAAATGTTGTGTTCTTTACTCAAACGTAAACATATTTAACAGAAAACACAACAACCTTTTCACCAACAGAAAGACCACATTCAAGAGAGAATTAGGTTAGAATATAATGCTGGCTTTTGGGATGAGACCTGAAATCCAAACTAATATTCTCACTAAAGATCAGGACAGCGTTATTTCGGACACTTCTAGAGGTGTCCGGATCTTATCACTGGCTCACCGATGCATAACGGACTGGGTGTGGCCTTACAGGACAAGTAGTCCGGACACACTCGTTGCAACGAGCACTCGCTTTCTTGCCGCGTCCTTATATCTCTCTTCAGTAATCTACGCACTCTTTCTCAAGTATCTAGCACTCGCGAGGTGCGGCCCACCCGCGAGCTAGCAATAAACAAGCAGGTGTCACTATCTCGCTTTCCCGTCCCCCCCTCACCTCTCTATCTGTTTGAAGGGCAGCTCTGCGCTTGCCTCCACCTCACGCCGACTCGGGAGCACTCGTCTCGCTCGCTAAAGGCCCGTGGCGACGTCGGAGGAGCAAAGAAAGCTAGCCACTGTGCCGTCAGCAATCTTGGCCGAGAGACTGGTCTATTTATAGACACGAGCCGTGATACTAAAAATAGCATAAAGTCGACTCTACGCGCGGGGGGCGCGTTTATTTGATTAATTATCTCAGTGCGCGAAATCAGCATAGTATAGGACACACCAATACAATGAAGTGATGGTTACATAAGGAAATGTTTTTCTATGCACTGTACTCGTTGCCGTAGGCCGCCTTGACTTTCACAGCTTTCTCCTCGTCAGTAGGCAATCTACTAGGGTCTCCCCCTTGCTCCAGATACAGGTTGTCGTAGGGAAACTGGCGCGGAACCTGAAAAACCAGTCAAAACAGGTACTAGATAAATAGGAGATGTCTACTTGTAATGCAGCTCACTGCTGGATCTCTGGACGGGGCATTATAGAGGTGGGATAAATATATCAGTAAACCTAGGATTCCAAAGACTGTTGTTAGTTGAGCCAACGCCTCCCATCTAGGAGTTTGACATGAGGAAAGTAAGAGATCACATTTACAGTAATTACCCTTATTTCACATAGATAGGCGTACCTGGTATAGATTCCATTGCTTTCCACTGCATCGAACATCCATATGTTAAGTGCATCATCTTCTTCGTGTAACTGTAGAAAACAACAGAAGTAGAGAGGAACAGCAAGTGATGGAAAAGAGATAGAGAGAATGTAGGAAAAGGGTAAAAAAGATTGCTCACAGGTGTCTCCTTATCTCTTCTGTCCTGGTTGTCCCACCAGCCTGTCTGTCTGTTCAACTGAGCTGACCTCCACGGCAGTACAGGGTAGTCCCCCAGCCTCAGTCCCAGGTCAATCTTATCCCCTCCCGAAGACCCTTCATCCCCTCCACCGCCAGTACTAGAATAGCACCGCTCTACAAAAGAACAGTTTTCTAATTGGTGCGCACCCATAACGCACTAACGGCTGAAAGTCGCTGAAGCTGTAGTAGGTCGCCATGCGAGGTCAGAGCGACCGAGGATCGTCTGTCTCCGTGTCAGACGAGCCCCACGACTCCCTGCCGACAGCAACAGGCGACTGCACAGGGAAGTCATCCAAACTTCGTCCAGACCCAGTATACGGAGAGATTTACGGTCCTTTGCACGGAGATGTTAGTCAGTCTTAGATGCGCATGCGCCGTTGCCACGGTAACCTCAAAAATTTTCACATGAGCATAAAAATTACACGGCACTGCTTTACAAGCAGTCAAAATATTATTATGCCAGGCTCACTGGTGACATTGGGGGAAGGGGTGACTGTACACACAAATCATACACCTTAGCTACGACTGGACTAATTCTTTCCTAGTGATCTCAAGTTCCTCTCTGAGTTTTTCTCTCTCCTTCTGCAGGAGTCTTCTCTCCTCCTCCAGCTGCATCCTCTCTCTCTCCCAGTGGAACCTCTCCTCACTCGCCTTCATTCTCTCATTCTCCACCTGCCCGGGAGAGAGAGCATCAAATGATGGTTTGTTAACTAAAGGATACAGTGACTTTGTCACGTGACAGTCACATGACTAAGGTCACATGATCCCCACCTCTCTGAGTGTCTCGGCAAAGAGAATCTTATCGTCAGATGACAGAGTGTCGTCTTCCTGAAGCCCCTTCAACATGGAGAGAGATCTTTTTCTTCTCTGCGAGTCTTCTGCAGAGTGGCTCGCCACCTCATGCTGCCTTCTTTGAAACAGAGCTATGCCCTGAGTGGGTGGGGGGGAGGAGGACGATTACACCACTGTGTTTATTGCAGGTATGTAGCTAAATCTAAGAATTTCCACGTGCGTTGGCAAGAGTATATACTCACATGCACCATAATGTCAGCAATTTAACAGACCTTGCTACTCTGTTTGGGTGTGCATTCACAGCACAAAAATGGTCTCATGCTATTCCCAAATAATGCCCAACAAATTTGCACTAGAATAGTAGAACAGCTCAGTATGGAAAGGTCCATTCTACAGAGAGTAGTGAAATGCAACGAACCTTTTCCTTGAGGGACGTACTCCGTTGTCTTGTAGCGGTTGCCAAGTAACCATCGTCGCCGGGGCTACTAGAGGTGGAGGAATGTGGTGATGAATTCCTTGCAGATCCAGAGATGCGGCGGTCCGAGAGGAGTGGGGAGGGGGGCCGGGGGGAGCGAGGGGAGCGGGGAGAAGTGGGGGGACTGAATTTCCTCTGGTAGGAGGGTAGGGACGAGGGGGAGGGTGGGAAGGGATCGCTGGATGTGGAGTCTGATCTATCGTGGCCTGGAATGGGAATCTGGGAATGGAATATGCAAACCGACATATTCACAACATCACAAGATTTTTGATTTTGAGGGCATAATTCCTTGCAAAAAGTGCATTCAAAGCGGCACAACAATGCTGTGAACTCGGTCTATTGGTGCCAATAGTGATGGTGTGTTGTGATTTTTGCTCCACTCACCTGTTCTGAGGAGGCGTGGCTTGGCAGTGGGGGACTTGACGATGGTGGGGAGTCTCTGTTGCTAGGTGACGGATCAACTGTGCTATTGTTGCTAGGTGACTGTTCAACTGTGTTACTGTTGCTAGGCGACTGATCAGACGTGCGAGGTCTAGTGTTAGTCCGAGGTTTTGGTTGTGGTCGAGTAATGAGGCAAGAATCTTCATTACAGACTCTGGGCGTGGCAGTGGGTGGAGCAGTAGGTGTGGAAGTGGGTGGAGCAGTGGGCGTGGCAGTTGGTGGATCAGTGGGTGTGGCAGCAGTGAGTTGTTCGGTATGGGGAGATGGAGGGGTGTGTTGAGCAGGTAGGGGTGGAGTTTCACCACTGTGACTCACATTTACGTAATCTCCGTTCACCCTCCCTCCTGACCCCGTGACCTCTTCCTTTGTCTCGTCACTACCACCAGTTGGAGGGACATTGACGTACCTTCCAACTGACCCCTTCACCAGTGGAGGTGTCCTCTCCTCAAAGCCAACCTCACTGTACATCTCCTCCTCCTCCTCCTCCTCCTCCTCTTCCTCTGGTCCTGCGTCTCCCACTGGTTCGTATACAGCAGAGGTCCCACTCTCTGTCAAGACATCGTACACTCCTACAACGCTGTTTTCATCTCGTTGTATAGTGTTTCGTGTGTCACCATTGTGTTCTAAAACATCGTACACGGCAACCACCGGCTCTTTGTCTTGTTTTGACTTGTGAATGATTCGAGCGGTGTCCACTACGTCGTAGACAGGTAGTGGTGGCTCCGCTGTTTCTCGTTTAGTCTTTGGAACGTCAGGGACATCCTCGTAGATCATTCCTTGATCTAACGTCCTCGATGAGGGGGGAGGGAGAGAGGAATTGGGAGCCAGGATTGCAGGGATTGCAGGGAGAGGTTGCGCAACAGCTGAGTTCGGCTTGGGCGGGGCTCGGGTTGATTTGTTTTGGGTGGGCGGAGTCACGGAGCTGTTTTCAGGTCGAACTACGTCATACACTCCCAATTCTTCCTCTTGTTGTTGTTTGTGTGTTTGTTTATCGTTGCTTCCTGCCTCCCGTGCAAAGTCGTAGAATGCTTCCAGTGATGTTTGAGATGACGTCGCTGAGCCACTCCCCTTTTCCAACAGTTCCAACCCCTTTAGACGAGGCTCCGCCCACCTCTGTTGGTCGCCGTTGGAAACAGTGATTGAGAAATTCTGAGGAGTGTCTGCGTCCGGAGGCAGGACGTAATCGTAATCTCGTTCGCTCTCGCTCAAAACACTTTCCCGTTCCACAACTCCACTTGGAGGAGGTAACTGGCTGTACAGAGCTTCGTTAAGAAACAATCTTTCCTCTCCTTCTTCTCCTCCCTTCTCTTCCTCTTCCACCTTTGGCCCCGCTTTCTCTTCCACTTGAACCAGCGGATGTTGCAGAACGTTGTACATTGACTCCACCTCTTGAACCGGGGCGAGCGGTAAACCCGTTTCCGACGACAATGAGAGAGTAAACTGTCGACCAAACGCCGAGCTCGCATTCGATGCGAGGGAATCACAGACGGAAGAATGTGCCTTTGGTCTCAACAGCCCTCCAACCAGTGACCCCTCCTCCGGCTCTCTTAGACTCTGCGATGTCAACGCAGTGTCTCTATCGACTGCCAGTGACGCACTGCGGAATCCACTAAAACTCTTTGTTCTCGTCACCTCCAGTAGGTCGTGGTGGGCGTCTTCTAGAACTTTCCGCCATTCATCGGCTTCTGCCTTGGTGTCGGCATACATGAAGTAGACCCGGGGCGTGGTCACCAACGCAAACGTGTTCTCCAACGCGAGATTCTTGGGCCACGTGACATCGCTTTTCTGGCCGACCCGGATTTTAAACTGGGTGTCCCGTAGCGAGATGACTCCGAGATGGTTCTTTGTTGCGTCCTTGTAGTAGTAGAGACAGTAGTCCGATCGAAGGACCATCCATCGCTTGGTCCATGTCTTAATCCTTCCCCCACACTTATGGAGTACTCCGGAGTAAATATCTCGGTATCCTCCACTCATTCTGTAATAGACTGACACATACACAGACACAGAGTGGAGAGAGAGAGAGAAAGACAACTGAGCTATAATTATAGATTGACACATACACAGACACAGAGTGGAGAGAGAGAGAGAAAGACAACTGAGCTATAATTATAGATTGACACATACACAGACACAGAGTGGAGAGAGAGAGAGAAAGACAACTGAGCTATAATTATAGATTGACACATACACAGACACAGAGTGGAGAGAGAGAGAAAGACAACTGAGCTATAATTATAGTTACAGACACAGTTAAAGCTGAAAATGGACCCACTGAATAAAAGACACCTCTCTATAAAGCGCACTTGGTTCTGCCCTATACTAGTGGCAGTGTATTATGGCACCTCCGAAAAAGGGACACCGTCACCAAATGAGACTTTCGATGTTCCCTTATTTGTAGGTTCTCACAGTACTACAATAGAAAGTAGGATCAATCTGTTACTAAGGCAACCACTAGGTTCAAAAGTTGTTGTCACAGTGTGGGGTGCATTCTTCACCCACACTTCCTGTTGGTTTCACATTCAAACCCTCCCACCTTCCTCTCTCTCTCTCTCTCACTCTCTCTCCTGCTTGTATATAGCCATATTTGTGGCCAACACCCTTACATACACCTTGTACTATATATAGTGAAAAACATGGTCCTTCTTTACTCCCCCTCTTCCTCTACACCCTCTCCTTATCTCTTCTTCCTACTTCCAAACAGATTAAAACTGTTGCCTGTTTTATTAACTTTCATTTCCCTTCTTGCTTTACTCTCTTTCCCCCTCCCTTCCTCCCTCCCTCTCTCCCTCTCTCTCTCTTGCATAGCACCACGTACAAAATAACCCGACCCAGCACCTGGCGTCCATAGTGAAAATAAACAAAAAAAGTTAACTAGGGGCTTATATAAACTCAACGAGTATGCTAAATATAGTATGGAAACCAACAGTGATCAACACACACATGTAGGGAATTTATACTGTGAGTAGTTGTTTCCATACCAACAATCTTCAACATCTACAACATTTACATGCGTACACATGCTTTCAGCAAGTACTCGTACATGTTTCCTTGTAAAAAATACAAATAAAGCATCGTAAGCAATTTTGTGTTTTGTTGCGAGCGTGAGTTGAGAAAGACATGCAGATTGTTGCTGAGTTCAGCCGTCCATGAAATACTTCATACGCAATGACTCACCTGCTCATATTCATACCTCGTTCAACTATGTATAACTAGGTTAATACAGTGGAACACATTCTTTAAGGACACAGCTAAAATGAGGAAATCTCTTTAATTAGGACACCCTTTTTCTTTCACCAAGAATTGTTTCTTGCATGCAATTTCACCCCTGAAATAAGGACGCCTCACTAATATAGACACTTTCCTGATGTCTAGTTCCACCATGGAGAGAATGTACATTGTCACTATGGTGAAAGCAATTGTAAGAGATTAAAGTATTGTAAGATTTCGTGCAATTTGAGGTCATCTCTATTGACGGAGAAAATGGTTTCTATGGAGGATGGTGAGGTTTCAGTGTGAGTGTGTGTGTGGAGATATACACACATTGACTGAGTGTTGTGATACCACTGTGCTAGAGTAGAAACAATAACCACGCTTATTCTAGTATTCTAGCGTTGTTTGTTTCCCAACTAGCCAGCTCTAGAGAGAGAGAGCCCGGTGGGAGTTGCTCGTTAGCCATGCAAGCGGCTCGTTTCTTCTCGGTTGCATACCTAGGAATTGTGCTGATGATGAAGGAATGAATGCGGAATTTTGCATCGAAAGCAAATTCAGTTCCAAGGCAGCTCCCCTTGCAACGGCGGCTGTAACTCGATCCTTGATCTCCCGCACTTGCGCGCGTATTTCTTAGAGTTAGCGACGGAAAAGCCATGTTTACAACGACCGGCGCACAGCCATTTGCTAACTACACCCCGCGCGAGGAGGAAACAACTTACAAGAGGCGACAAACACATAAACATGCCAACGGACTGGCCTAATTTCGAGCTACATACGTTGAGTTGCATCATTATATCTCTATGTCGCGCGCTAACCTGTTGATTTGCTTTCCGCGAGCAATCAGGTGCCGAGACAACCAGCCGTGTCCAGCACACGATCACGACCCGACTTTCTTTACACCACGGCAAGACCCTAGTCTTCAAGAAACGACCAGTTCATGACTTTAGCGATCGACGATCGACTCCACCCATTATTGAATTTCGGCACATCTGCGCATGAGCATTCCATAGCACAAATTGGGCATGCGCGAAAAAAAAACAGGTGGACGACGACGCAGGCACGCACCAGAAACCCAAAAAATGCATTTCGTTTTCTCTCTTCGCCTGCACTGTGTGGCTGCAGTAGTGCACACCTCGGGGTATCATGGACGGAGACGCGAGAAGCCGCTCCCTTACCTCCAGCGATGACGCCAGTTCCGTATCTTCAGAGGGCCTCCAACTACCGCGGACCCGCGCGGCCAGCGCCTCTCTCGCTGCCCCAGCGGGCAAGACTTCGCCTTCTCGAGGGCCCTCCAGACCCAAGAAGAAGAAGGTGAACTTCATGTTACAGTTTCAGAGACTCTGCATCCTGTTTACTACGAATGCTGGGGAGGGCGGCGCACCCTTGCGTAAACAACTCGTCTTCTTCTTCCTCTCATCTTTCTCCGCCCTTTCTCTCCGATCCTCTGTGTATAGGTGTACGCGACGGTGCCCAAGCCGTTCAACCTGACGCTCCACTCTCGTGTCGAGGAGAGACAGCGTTTCAACAGCGTGCAGAAGGTGAAACAAGAGGAACATGAAAAAGTAAGCCCTGGGAACCATTGTTGTCAAGGAGCGAGGAAAATTACATTGCTTTTTTCCCCATTCCTGGAAAAAGTTTTGGTTTATCCTCATTTGTGGGGGATTTTCATGTTCTGTCCCCGACCTTATGATAATGTTCATTTCGGTTTTTATTCAGTTAGTTAGGGAACGGGTGGAGAGAAGGCAGTGGGAAGAGGAAGAGGGGAGGAAGGAGATGTGGAAGAAACAACGGTTCAAGGTTAACCAACCTCCACCAGTAGTAGCTACAATTCTTTAGTCTCATATTCACAACCCACAAGGTTGACGGAGCATCGGGTATTATAGCTTCTGACGTGAAACCTGGTCCTAATATCCGTTGTCTTTCTTTCAGTGTGCGCTGAATTGATGATGTAATTACCCATTGTGGGCATATAGACACGCCCAACACAGTTTACAATGCTTCGGCCCTTGAACCATTGTCTCGTACTGCATGTGAGCAAATTACAGCTACACCCACCCACAATAGGTTGGTGCAACAAACGCACACAATTCTGATTGCCAACACCGCACTATACACCCTTACGTTATGCACATACTGAATGCACTACAATTAACCATATGCGCACAAAATGTGTGTGTTTGAAGGTTTACAAGTTGTGTGTGAGTCAACATCGCTTCATGTTTTCAATCTGTAGGCCAATAAGGTTCGCTCGTTCAAGCCAGTGTGCCCACAACCATCTTCAAAGGTGTTGACCGTACCCGTTTCTCCTACGTGAGTTAACGATTCATTTTTGAGAAAGATTACGCGATCGTTACGTCGGTTTTCTATGTTTTGATTGGTCAGTTTGAGAACGTCGATGCTGGAGCAGATGAGAAGAGCGAGAGAGGAGGGGAGAGAGGAGAGGGAGGAGAGGGAGGAGGAAGATGAAGAGGAGTGGAGAGGGAGAAGGGGGTTGAACGAGGGGCATCTCTACGGAACTGGTAGCAGCGGTGGACGGTCAGTCAGACCTTCACACGAGGCCTCATATACAGGTGGTGATTGACCTGTCTCTATTGCAACCATATAATATTGTAGCACTTAGAAAACCATGAAAACCGAACATCATTAATTATCGGTGTTGCTAGATTTTTCATGCATGCATGGATTTATAAGTAAAACCCTGCAAATGAAAGATTCTCTCTCTCCTCTTCTCTTCTCTCTCCTGCCCTCTTTCTTCCCAGGAGTACGATGGACCTCATTTGAATAACTTACAGGGAAACGGTAACCTAGACCACGACAATGAAATTGAGAATGACAACAAATCCGACATGAAACTATGCGAGGAATCCGAATCAGTGAAGAAAATTACCAGAATGAGTGACGTGACGGCAATGGTGGCTTACTATATCATCATCTATTTCACCGTGTATCTGGTGTGTTCCTGATATATTGGGGTAACCCTGGTGATTAGAGATTCAAATTGGAAAAACACTCAGCAGTTGATATTCAATTTTTCATCAGTCACTATTTTAGTCACAAACATGCTCAGTGTAAACTATTATCAAATTATTTATCATCATCTGCCACGTGAAGTAAAAACCATAAAAGACAAACCAGTTCCGATGCCTGGACCTCAGGGTTTGGTTGCGCATGCCCGAAACGTGTCCTTGTGCGCATGCGTACCCGAAAAACATCGCGATGCATAGCTAGCATGCAGCGACACAGACGACAAGGTGAGAGCAGAAATGGACGTCAACAGCGGCACCTCCTCAGCAGCTATAAAGAGAAAGCATGGACGTCCCTCTCGCTCACGGAGCCACGCCAATAATCCCTACTATTCGGCGATCACGACCGGCGGCTCCGCGAGTTTTGCCGAACATCGACGTAAACTCCGCGGCGTCAGCAACAGCAGTTGGCCGCGGGCACTCTTTTCTACGGCTCCTGCGGGCCCGTCGCATGCGGTGGTCATGTTTCGCGTTCTCGTGGAACCGCCGCCGTCTGGCGTGTTTTTCAGCGGATCAGAAGTCAGAGGATGCGTCCACGTAACGACAGAGGAGGAGAAAAAGTTCAAGTATATCCACGTCTCTCTCACAGGAAGGGCGCAGGTGAGGAGCGATCTTAGCCTTGCAGATCCGTGCATAATTATTACGTAATATTATTCTAGCTGGATTGCCTGATCAATGGCCAGTTTTGATTATGCAGCCACACTTTAGGCACCAATTTGTTGGCTAGTCACACAAATCATTTCGAACATGAATTTGAGAACTTCTGAGAATGTTCCTGTGAGAATGTACACAGGAGAGTGGTTCTGTTGCCGTCGTGTTATGCTAACAACGTCTGTGATTGTCGGCTTGCTTTAGACCCGGCACTATCTCCATGACACTCTGTGTAGCTCTCATTATGGCGGTACAGCCGAGGAACAATACTAGTTGTGTTGCTACAATGCCCCCATCTCTTTCACTGCACCGAGGAAGAGGAAGACATCTCAACGTTCTGTTTTCAGCATCTCTGTGTGTTCACCTGTAGCTACACACTTTTCCGGAATTCTGAGAATAGTTTACTTTCTAACACACTGTGATAAAAACCCACGGTTTTCTTTCTCATTGATGTTGGATAGTTAATACAGTGGAACTTCCCTAATCCAAACACCAAGGGGACAGAAGAAAGTGTCCACACGTTCCTTCTTACATGCACAAGAATTATTTTTCTTAGGGAAAAAAAGTGAGGTGTCCAAATTTCCTAGAGGGGTTCCACTGTAGTAATGTTTTTGCTGTGCAAACAGCTTAAATTTTCCCCCTCCTCTCCTCTCATTTTCCTCTCTCCTAATAAAAGGTGTGGTGGATGGACAGTTCAAGTCAGAGGGAATTTTCCGGAGATAAAGAGCATCTCCACGAGACCCAAATGCTGTGGACCAGAGAAGAGAGTTCGGACAGGCTGGCCCTCTTCCCGGCCGGCTCTCACAGTTTCCCTTTCCGATTTCTCCTCCCGCAGAAAATACCTTCTTCGTTTGAGGGTCGAGTGGGGTGGGTACGCTACGAGCTACTGGGGAGGATCGTGACTGGCGTAATGAAAGTCGAGCATTTGGTTGAAATCGAACTCCCAGTTCTGGAGATTCTAGACATCAACCAGCAGCCTAATCTTCTCTCTCCAAAGAGTGTGGCTATTCAGAAGAAGGTGTGGAGTTTCCCGTGCACTCTGGCCAACGTCTCGATGGTGGTTGGTCTAACTCGCTCAGGATTCTGCATTGGGGAGGACGTACCGTTGAACGTCGCTCTAGAAAACGGGAGTAGATACGAAGTGACGCTCGCAGCTGTTCTGAGACAGAAGGTCACGTACACGGCAAAGAGAAACAGAAGACAATACGACAAGGCTACAGTGGTTCAGGTCACTAGCCAGAGGTTTGCACCCAGAACTTCGACAATATGGCCGACAAATCTGCGGGTGCCACTAGCAGAAGCCACGACGCAGGATTACGAAACTATCAACGTCCAGTACAGGATAAAGGTCGTTGCCTCTGTTGGTTGGGGGCAAACACTTGTTGCCAAGATACCCATAACGATAGGGAACATCCCCTTTAGAGACTCGTTAGTCGATCGCGACATCCACTGCTCCCGAGACCTGCTCCAATTTGGTAGCTATGACAACCAATACTTGTTTCTCTCTGCTGACGACGACAGGAGCTCGAGGCAATTCAGTTTCGGATCCCAAATAGAGCCCACCACCAAATCGACCCTGCGTCGCTCAGCGTCCCAGCGGTCATGTGACGTGTTCTCAACAAGCGACAGCTGCTTGTTTCACGAGTCGGAGTGCACATATTCTGTTAGAGATTACATCGATGGAGGTGAATTGAGCGACAGCGACGTTTTCATCCAGCAAACCGACAACTAAAGATCACCTGACAATCACACACACATCATGTGACACTGTCATTATATTACACTCGATCAGGGACGCAGCGTTCATCATTAGAAACGTCTCTTTTCTGCATCAACTTTGAGTTTTTGTCTTTTTCACCATCAGTAAAAAATTTTATAAGTGGTTTAAACATAGACCTTAATGTTTCCTTTATCTAGTATAAAAATAATATAATACATCATTATAATAAAACATAACCAGTGAAATAAAGATAATTAATATGACCCTGTGTTATAAATGTTTTGTTTTGTCAATGAGAATGTATCAAGATGGAAGTTGGAATGATGTAATGCTAACGGAAGCCGTGTCTGAGGCGAGATAGAGTTTTGAGACATTTGAAGAGAGGGAGGTGGTGGAGGAGGAGGATGAGGACAGCGATGGAGAAGAGAAAGTATAGCATGAGGAATGGATAGCGAGGTGGGAGCCAGAGAACTTTGTACCCTAGGTTGCCATGACGATCTACAGAGAGAAAGGGAGCAACACCCACACACGGTGGAACTCCTCTAATCCAGACACCAATGGGACAGAAGAAAGTGTCCATATTAGTGAGGTGTCCTTATTTCAGGGGTTAAATAGCATGCAAGAACTGCTCTTGGGGAAAGAAAAGGTGTCCTTATTAGAGAGGTGTCCTCATCTCCTTAGAGACAGTAATCAGGTTGTTGTTAATGGTCTCACCTATGAAAATGGCTCCAGTCCCCATGTGAGACTCTCCCATCCTGTAGCTGCACGTGGGCACCACCCACTCCGTCCCTAGTCTCTCTCTCCCGTCCACAGTGGTGTAGGAATGACTGGAGGATGACGTGTGGTGGGTGTGGCCACTGAATATGTAGTCTGGACTTAGGGAGGAGAGGATTGAGCTCTGGGGAGATGAGAGAGAGAGAGAGTGGTAGAGGTAGTAAAGTGTCCAAAAAGGACATGTAGTTTGCTTCTTTGCTTTGCCTTGTGGCCTCGTTGACGTGTTTCACGTGCAAAAAATGTCAAGGATGTTTTAATGCACAGGAGTCAACCCATTTGTTAGAGCCTCAGTTTCAAGTTTTTACAAAATATCGAACAACTAGAAGAGAGAGAGAGAGAGGGGAGGAGCTAACAGTGACGGCAGTCGGCAGATCAGAGAGTGGTACGTGAGAGTACACCAGCACTGGTCTCCGTAGCAACCCGCGAGCCGTGCTCTCAGAGACACTGCTGAGGAATGAAGTCGTTTCCTCTCTTATCTTTGCCTCCTCTTGGTTGGCAGGACGACGGTGGATGTAGCTGATGGTGTTCAGCTGGTGACAATAAACACATTACATCATAAAAATCACAGACAATGGAATACAAGAAGGGGGCGGGGCTAAGGGATAGACTAGAGACAATGGAACACAAAACACATGTAGTAAGATAAACCGTGCCACAATGCAGAGTGTATGAGGTCTGCCTTTGCCGCCTTGGTGCTATGCTCGATGCTGCATTAAGGGCTAGTCGTTAATGTATTAGTGGTGTGTGGACTACAGTAATTAGTACACAAGTACACGACAATAGTGTAATGTTTGTTTACGAACCTATTCATTAATAGCGCTGTACACCCATTAAATTGTATTACCTCTAAGGACCCTCAAAATTATGTGCACCTTTAAAATTTTACACAGCTCGACCACAAAAAATTGATGGAGCAAAGAGTAAATTTTCCCACCTTGACTATTGTTACTCCTCTGAATGTTAGGACTTCATTCAGAGGTCCAAATTCTGCAATGTACCTCCTGGAAATAATAGAGGGCGGGGGAGAGGGAGAGAAGGGGAGAGAGGGAGAGAGGGAGAGAGGGAGAGAGGGAGAGCAGGGGAGAGAGGGAGAGAGGGAGAGCAGGGAGAGAGGGGGACGATGATGTGGTTCAGCAGCAAAGCAAACGTAAAGCAAACAAGTCGACTACAGTAGCCGCATATGCCACGAATGTTTATAGAGGCCCTTGTAGAACAGCAAAGCAAAAGAAAACAACAGACGCCTCGCGCCTGCCTTCCTTAAACCAACATTTCCACCCACCTGATAGAGGAGGCCACCCCACTACCTCTAGTGTGTTATTATCCTATTGATGCCCCCTTATTCTTACGTGACCCCCAACAATAGAGTTTCTATACTCTAACTCCATTAAGGAACGGTGTTAGAGAGATGGTATGCTCCTCACTGGTTTATGGTATCTCTCATTCCTTCTCCTCCTTCTCCTCCGATGTCGTTGTCTCCTGGTAACAGAATCAGCTTCACGTCGCTAGGGACCACCAGCACTTCACTGAGACACTGAGAGATGGAGAGAGAGAGATATGTTGGGAGATTTGAACTTAAGACACCCTTTTCTAAGGACACCTCCCTAATAAGGACACCCTGAAATGAGGCCTCTCTAATAAGGACACCTTTTCTTTCCCCAAGAACATTTCTTGCATGGAATTCAACCCCTGAAATAAGGACACCTCTCTAATACGAACTTTCTTCTGTCCCATTGGTGTCTGGATTTCTCTCCCTCCCCACACTTATCAAGTGTTCTAATTGCACACCTGCAAGTAGTCAGTCCAGTCTTGCTGCGATGCCTTGTAACCCTCGGCAAACACGTCGCCGACAACAACCACGGCATCGGGCTCCATGGCAACCAGCAACCGAGACACGCCTCTTGCGACATACCTGTCAGAGTCCCATCGAAGTAGCCACGGTTCAAACGTTGCAAATGAACACTGTATGTGTGGATCAGCCAATACGAGGATTTTCAACGATTGTTTCGTTTCGTCTGGTCCAGCATTTATGATCTCCAGGTTGGCGTAACTCTCGGTGACGGTGGGATCGAGTGGTCGGTAGGGAGGGAGGGCGGAGTCTGTAGGCCACGCCCACATCCAGGAGTACAGGAAGTGAACTCCGAACTCGCCGAAGAGGAAGAGTAGGAAGAGGGAGAGGGAGAGGAAGATGAGGGGGCGTTGTCGGATCATTATGCAAGGGGCAGCCATTTTGCATTGTACTAATGTCGGCTGAAGGTGTATCTAACAACAATAAGAAGTGTCGTGTAAATCACAGCGTAAACAGTGTTGTTGTAGTAGTGCTCCTGGCATTTGTGATTAGAGAGTCGCGTAGAGAGCCGTGCCAACTAGAGCTACATGTAGCTAGTAACGATTAGTGCATGCATAGCGACCTAGATACAGAACTGAGGGGGGTTCAGCGTTTACTTACTGCAAAGAGAGCCTCTCGCACTTCCGGAGCTCAATCTCAGACATCTGGTGTCGGCCAGCCGCCAGCCGAGAAAAAACTGTGGGCGAGTTTGTAAACATGCGCATGCGGATAACTACTACGGCACGCCTATTTTCGCACGCGCGTAGGTAAATCAATCGCGCGGCCTGAAGAAAGTGGGGCGGGGCTGGTTAGTGGATTCATTTGCTCTACCCTCTCACGGCAGGCATCTCTCTCCTGCTGTTGTTTGTCTTCTCCGCCGGTCCCTCAGCAGTTGTTGTGGCGATGAGCAGTGAGCGCAAGCCGCGAAAGCCGCTGGTGAGTAGCTCACTATGCAGCATATAGTCCCAGGAACACATACATCATCACCACTTGGCCGCCCAACCCGCTTTGTTTACATGTACGAATTCTCTAATGCGTGTGTACACGACGAGTCGCTGAACTGCAAGGCCCTGCAGCCAACTACTATCGCTGCACTACATAGTAATTGACGGTGAGTAGAATTGTGTGGAGGTAGCTAGCTAGCTGCTTTAGTTTTTTGACGTTGGGGGTGAGTTTGCGCCGGTTTCTTTTTCATGTTTCGAGTAAGTTGTCGTGAGGCGAGGGTATATTGATGTTTATTTGTATCCAACATCCAACGGGCTTTTATTGGCCCACGTCTTCTTGTTTTCCGCTTTTTACGCGATTACGTGGACAGTCCGCCCGCGCTGGCTAATAATTGTCCTACACACCCTTCCTAGCTGGCTCAGCTGCAGTGATGTTGGTTTACTGCTGCAAAGTCCAGAGCTTCTTGCTCCTCTGCACAGACTAATATATTATAGCTTTATACCTGCTCTACTCACATTCGTCTGGATCCAGTTCTGAAATAATTAGTGAATGTTGTTTTCTACAATGTTGCTGTGCTGTCACTTGCATGGGTAAAAGTACTGAACAACTTTTTGAGGTGTAGCTGCACCCATTATAGTCGTGCTTGGTAAAACAGTTTTCAAGGAAATAACATTGGGAAGACTGCCAACGATTGAATTCCTTCTCTCTGAGGTGTGGTAACTGCCTACTTTGGATGTATGGACGGCTTCCAGAATTAATATTACCTCTTGTTTCCATTTTTCTTTCATCCAAAGCTTCGTCGCCACTCTCTGGCTGGTACAAGAGCCAGCCCAAGCCAGAGACAAGAGGAAGGGGGACGATCACTCTTCAGATTCATCATGAATCGCCCGTGGAAACAACGCTCTGTGTCTACCCCCGCCATTGACAGCGAGAGTCGGTCTTCCGCATCACATCACCATGACAACACTAAAGAGGGGGCGGAGTCAAGTGTGAGAGTCGTGGCGACCGTTCTTCAACCGCAGCTCTACTACAAGAGTGTCCCGGTCACCATGGCGACAACAGTGAACGACATCATCGTGAAATTGGTATCGAGGTATGCAGTTGTTGCTGAGGACAAGGACCCGAACTCGTTTTACCTGATGGAGGTTAGTTGTGTATAAGACTCTCGTGTATATGCAGGACAAAACCGCTTATATATAACAGTGTTCTAAATGTAATACCAGACACCCATTTTTTGCATGGTTGAACACTTTCCTTTAGTCGACACCCCGTAATTCGTGCACTCTCTCCCTCTCCTCAGACCCACGACAGGAAGCAGGGCAGCTACTCACGTGTTCTCCCTGACTCTGAGGAGGTTGGCTCTATCCTCCAGAGATGGGGGCCAGACTCTGCATACTTCACCCTCACACGGCGACCAACCACAGTCAGATCTGAACCTCTCTTCTACAGCTCCCGTGAGTTTAACAAATGCACGTGGAACTGCACATTATAGTGCCAGGTTTTGTTAGGGAGTTCAGTCACAAGTTACCTTGTAGTGGCAGGAGCAGATGTTACGGTGCTGCACCAGGGAATCTCATTGTCTATATTAGTACACTAACAAACCAGTTCAAATAATGCCAGACTTCTTTTTACGTTGTTCTAGTGAGGTGGCTGCATGCATTTCCGCGGCTTGGTTTAGCAAGGTTCCACTGTAAAAGTGTTTGAATACATCTTTCTCCACAGCCAGCCTCCTCTCCTCAGAGAGGTCCAATCTGTTCTCATACCAAGTCTTTGTCGAGGAAGGCTGCGGATCACAGCTGTCGCAGAGTCTCAGCGATGTGTCAGCCGAGCTGTCTTCGTCGCCACAGAAACAGGGCAGTCGCTATGGTAATATCGCCAGTCTGGTCAGCCCGTATTCGCACGGGGCATCCCGAAAGGGGACCGACCCGGAAAAGAACACTTCATCGTTGTCACGGTTACAGGCGTCCTATAGTCGGGAATCCACACCAATTTCGCCAACCTCCCCACTAATTGTTGACAGCCCCACTCATCAATACATCGTTATAACGCCGGGTCAACCTCGGGTGGTCACCATAGCGACGAAAGTTTCCATGGCAACGACTCTGGGGGACCGGCACACTTTCTCTTCCCCAGTGCTAACCCTGGGTCTCCTACGGAGACAGAAGGTAGCCACGGCAACAACACACCAGTAAACAAACCAAATTCCACCGACGAAAAAAGAGAAGAGGAAAGTGTTTTGTTCAGTTTTGGAGAAACGGGGAGAGAGGGAAGAAGGGAGGAGGAGGAGGAGGAGGAGGAGGAGGGGGAAGGTGAGACACCAGAATCACGGCGGAGGAAAGAATTGAGTGAAAAGATGAAGAAGTCAGTTGAGAGGGGGCTTGGAGAGATAATTGCTCAGATTGTGGAGGAAGGTAGACCACAAGTGGCAGGGGGAGGAGAGCGGGAGGTGGTGAAAGAAGAAGAGGAGGAAGAGAGGGTGGAAGAAAAGGAAGAAGCAAACGACGCAGGAAACTATGAGCTGTCAGAGATCTTGACCAAGAACTAAGACCTGAAGGACCTGTACGACCGACGATGAGGGTGCAAAGGAGGGAGAGCACGGGACAGAGGGAGGAGGAAAGAAGAACGAAAAGGATAAGAGGTGCGAGAAGAGGAGGGTTAGAGGAGGGAGAGGCGAGCAGAAGGAAGAGTGTGAGAGGAGTGGAGCAGAGGTGTGAAGAACAAGGAAGAAGGAGGAGAGAGAAAGAAGAGGGAGAGGATGGAGAGGGAGAGGAGGGAGAGAGGGAACAAATGGCAGGAGAAACAGTGTTTTAGTCCTTTATACGAGGAGAAGAGGAACAGGAAGACGTGTAGTCAAAATTGAAGAAACGGGAGAGGTGGAAATGAAAGAGAAACACCAGCAACAAGAAGAGCCGAAAGAATTCCAGTCAGATGTCATCACTGTGACGACACTAGTAGACTCCTCCCCTCGTCAAGTTGCCACAGCAACTGCAGCTGGCCACGCCTACCAGCGAGAATCCAGTGTGACCGTAAGTCCAGTCCACAAGGCTTCAGCCTCCTCTGTCTCGTTTCATCAGGAGCCAGGCGGAGAGGGCGGGGCCTGGATGAACCTGTCTGACCAGTTTCAGTCGACCATGAATATCATTGACTCGTTTTCGGCCACCATGGATGAGAACTTTGGAACGGAGCCACTGCAGACTGGAACCAAGACTGAGAGTGGAACAAAATCTCGGAATGAGACCAGAAGCAGTCCGAGAGCCACGCCCACTGCCACACCCACAACTCCTGACAAGAAGAAACAAGAAAAACAAGATCTCATCTCTCCCGATCGTCGCAAGAAACTGGTGGAGCAAGCTGCGAAGAGGTTTCCATTCAAAAGAGCTCATACGTTTGACGTGGGAGTAAGCCACACCCCCATCACCACCAGTCGGCCACGCCCACCCAACAAGCCGCACCCCTTCATCAAGCCCCGCCCAGTCGAGAGCAAAGCGGGAGGGGCGGGACCTGGTCTCCAAGGCGAGGAAAGATCGAATGATGAACGACGCTCTGGCTAAGATGAGACAACGCTTCGCCCAATCCACCTCCAACAACTGACGAAAAATTCTATATCTATTATAGCTGACAACTACAAATTTATATACCCATTCTAATTTTTCCCCACCCATGAGACCCAAAATTTGTCCAAAAAAGCCCTTTGTAAGCACTTTATCGTCCTTTTTTTAATGAAAATCGTTTTACAATTTACATCATGATCACACACACCAAAAATTCAATGTTCTTTATTGCTAGAATGTTTCTCCAATAATTTAGGATTTCGTTGCCCGCTGTGACAAGTTGATCTTGTCCCCTAGGCTAAGAGCCATTCCCTGTATGAACAGTAGTCACATGATGATCACATGACCCTTGCAAACATCACCGTGGAAACGAGGAATCTCACCTGAGTCTTGGCACGGATGCGAATGTGACCCTGCACGGCGACGTCGCCAGCCACACCCTCTGTTGCCATGGGTTTCTCAACACTGAGGTTGGCGAGAGCGTCTTCCCCGAACACGCTGCGTGCGTAAAGGTTGGCGGCCAAGAGCCCACATTCGCCTGTCAGGGCCTGGGAATGGGGGAACGGAATATTCAGAACGAAACTTGCATGTAGGCAGAGGATTGTCTGAGAAGCATCACAGAACGGAGACAAGCGCGGCAGAGGAGAGAGAATCAATTGCCAAGCACTGCAGAAGGTTTCACTGCCAAGCAACACATAATGTAGGATCCTGCACTACTATTCCAGAACAGGAATGGAGGAATGGGGGTATGTGTGTACCTGTTTGGGAGTGAGACATTTCATGTTGGTGGACTGTAGGAGATGTTCCAGATACTCACTGAGATCTGTGATATTGGTGTTCACCGTGATCTGGGGGAGGGTGGGATGAGACAGAGTTAAGTGTTTGGCATGCATTGTTAACCCCCTACTAACGTCACTCTTTCACTCAACTCCGCCCATTAGCCACACCCCCTAATAACCTTGTTCTCCCACTCAAACTCCGCCCACATCCGGCGAAACTCTGTGTCTGAGCAGCTGGCTGGTTGGATGTAGTCCATGATGTCGATATGAATATTGTTGAGTACGACCACGTTCCGATCCGACGTGGAACCAATGATGTCATACACTGGAACGGAATGGGAGACATGGTGGGAATGGGAATCAGGGAATGTGTGAATCAGAACCTACCGATATTTCCAAAGATGATTCCATTCTCAGTCGAAGAAACCTTGATACTAGCCTAGCGGTGGATCATGTGACACTGTAGTGACATCATGTGATGGTCACATGACTGACCTTGATATTGACAAAATCGTGAGGCCCCACAGTCATGGGGGCAGGTTTCTCAACCAGCTTCAGGTCTCCATAGTGTAGCCAGCTCTAGAGTTAGACCCTTGAGGAGGGAGTTTACTAGTAGTTTACAAGAGTATACTAACATGGAGGAAGTTTACAAGAGTAGTAAACTACTTAGTAAATTGTCAGTAAACTCTAGTAAACCATGGTCCAACCTGCAAGGTGTCTCCTGTTTGGTTGACAACAAGGACGTCCAACACGATGTCGTATTGATTGATGTTCACATAGGCTTCGGCATACACGGGATCAGAGAACCCTGTCAGCTGAATCACCTGGAGAGAGAGGGGGGAAGAAACAACTGACGCAAGAGAACAGAGAAAAGCTGCAATCCTGAAAAAGGTACGCAGAATAAAACCCTGTAAATTTAAAAGTGATTCAACACCGGGTCAGCTGAATCACCTGGAGAGAGAGGGGAAGAAACAAGTGATGCAGTTTGCGATTTCTTGGGGTTTTGCAGGATTAACGAAATTAGCAACATCTTGGGGAAATATTCACACTTAGAGAAGCGAACCTTACCTTGTTGAGCTGTGTTTGTGTCTTCTCGGCGTCTCTCTTCCCACCGGCAACACCGCTGCCCTGCGTGGCGGTCATCAGACTCAGCTCATACTTGTTCTCAGTCTGCCCCTCCTCCAGTTGCGCCAGCTGGAGGAACATGATGAGGTCGTCCGCGTGGACTTGAACCTCCTCTTCATCCTTGTTCTGCGACGACAGAATTGGAACGGAATATTGGAGTATGCTGTGACATCACTAGTAGAATACAGAAATATACAAGAGATTACTGACCTTTTTGGAGTATGCGTGAAATCACTAGTAGAATACAGAAATATACAAGAGATTACTGACCTTTTTCTTCTTCCCCTCGGCCTCCCTGGTTGTCAACAATCGACCAAGGGCCTCTCGTGATCCCTCCCCAAACACCTGAGTCACACCTCGTTCCTCTCCGCCAGAACACGCAGACAGATGGTCAGTCGCTCCGTGTCGTCCTCTGTGATTGCCTGTGGTTGCCACGGTGATGATTGGTTCCCATGGCAACGTGTTAAATCGATGATGTCGTGTTGATGCAACTCACCTTTTTTGGGAGGCCAGATTTTCCGAGATGAAGGATGCTCGCTACAATCAACATGGCTTCTCCACAGAATGCCTGGCAGCAGAGAAATCACATTCCTTCATTCTTTCATACTGCCATACTCCCATTCCCCCATTCTCTCATACCTCCATTCTTTCATGCTGTCATTCTCCCATTCCACAGCACATGAATCTTACTCTGTTGCACTAAACAAAACCACCATCCAATTCCATCTCCCCCCACTTCCCTTCATACCCCATACCCCATACCCCAATTCCCCCATACCCCGGTACTCACGTTCCTGCTCTGTGTCTGGGTGACCTGACTCAGGTATCGGACTGCCAGTTTGGTGAGAGTGGAAGCCAGGGCAGCTGCTATGAAGAACTGTCCCTCCAGAAGATAGCCTCTGAGAGGGGGTCTGGGGGTAGAGGGAGAATACAGTATTACAGTGGAACTCCTCTAATACAGACACCAATGGGACAGAAGAAAGTGTCCATATTAGTGAGGTATCCTTATTTCAGGGGCTGAAGAACTGTTCTTGGGGAAAGAAAAGGTGTCCTTATTAAAGAGTTCCTTATTTCAGGGGTGTCCATATTAGTGAGGTGTCCTGAGCATTATACAGTGGAGCTCCTCTAATCCAGACACCAATGGGACGGAAGAAGAAAGTGGTCCCTATAGTGAGGTGTCCTGAGCATATACAGTGGAACTCCTCTAATCCAGACACCAATGGGACGGAAGAAAGTATGTCCATATAGTGAGTGTCCTGAGCATTATACAGTGGAACTCCTCTAATCCAGACACACAATGTGACATGAACTAGAAAGTGTCCATATAGTGAGTATCCTATTTCAGGGGCTGAAGAACTGTTCTTGGGGAAAGAAAAGGTGTCCTTATTAAAGAGTTCCTTATTTCAGGGGTGTCCTTATTAAAGAGTTCCTTATTTCAGGGGTGTCCTTATTAGGGAGGTGTCCTTATTAAAGAGTTCCTTATTTCAGGGGTGTCCTTATTAGGGAGGTGTCCTTATTTCAGGGGTGTCCTTATTAAAGAGTTCCTTATTTCAGGGGTGTCCTTATTAAAGAGTTCCTTATTTCAGGGGTGTCCCTATTAGGAGGTTCCACTGTACCCACAATTCACTTAATGAAATTGAGAGTTAATGAACGGTCACATTTTATCCTCTTTCTTGGTTGCCGTGGCAGTGAATGCACTCTGGGTGGCGTATGTTCCGGCTGCAGTCACTAGCTTCGAGGAGGAGGAGGAGGAGGAAGTGGGAAGCGGTCGGTTGGTCTGAAACAGAGGGCGAAATAAAGGATGAAGATCTCTAACAGCCATGTATTTACCATCTTCATTCTGAGTCTCTTCACCCGCAGCCTTCTTCAGCTCCGAGTCAACTATAGGCAGCTGCATACAGGGGATCACATGACGTCACATGACTGTCACATGACCAACCTCTCCCAGAGAGACCCTGATCTCCTGAACCACGCGAGAGATATCGTCAACAGTAGTACAATATTCTCCCAGTATCCAGAGAGCTCCTCGGTGGATGCTGTGTCAGAGAGTTGACACATTTGATCACTGCTAACACGATTTTGATCAGGGTTTGATCACTGCTAACACGCTTTTGATCAGGGTTTGATCACTGCTAACACGATTGGATCAGGGTTTACATCTATGCCTGATACTGACACAACCTGACATATTTGATCAAAAACGTTGATCACAGTTAACATGATATTGATCCCACTTGACAACACCTTCAAACATGACAAACTCATCAACAGCAAAATTATTCATGTTTCAAACACCACTAACACCACAATGATGCAAATTGATCGCTCCCAACACACACCTGACAGATTTGATGATTCCAAACACGTCCAGCAATCTCCCTACCACGTTTCCCTTCAGTCTCGGATACTGCTGGATCGCCTCACGAACAAACGCCAGCACATCCTCCGCTGTTCCTTCGTCGCTGTCCGAGAGGAAATCTAGCAGCTGCAACAAGAGAGGAGAAATAGTTTGCTGGGGGAACATGTTCATTAAAAATTTAGAATTAATACAGGATAGGGTGTCCTTATTAGAGAGGTGTCTTGCCAGCGAAACATGTTCATTAAAGGAATGGAACCTCTCTAATCCTGACACCAATGGGACAGAAGGAAAATATCTTATTTCCATCGTTTCGACTAGGCTCCATATTAGTGAGGTGTCCTTATTTCAGGGGTTGAATTGCATGCAAGAACTGTTCTTGGGGAAAGAAAAAGGTGTCCTTATTAAGGAGTGTCCCCATTTCAGGGGTTGATTGCATTGAAGAACTGTTCTTGGGGAAAGAAAAGGTGTCCTCATTTCAGGGGTGTCTTTAGATAAGGGCTCCACAGTACACATACACTAAAGGAGAGGAGAGTATATAAACAGACCAGAGGGACAACGGCAGGAGCAACGCTGGCAAATCGGATGCTGCACTGATGAAGAGTCTGGACCAGACTCTGTCTGTATCCAGTCACGTCCTTCTTATCCCTCCCATCTCCTCCGCCATTACTGGTGCTGGCCACCTCCTTCTTCAGAACCAGGACTATCTGGAGAGACGAGAGAGAGAGAGAGAAGGAACTTTAGGAGTGAAACAGGTCTACATGCAGAGAATTTTTTCAAGTTGCTTGGGGGTTAGCACCTATTTCTCAAGGCAAAACTCAAATTTTATGTTTTGGTTGTCTGAAAAATATCCCGAAATTATACATTCACCATTCATTGCAAATGGGAAAACTAGAAATTATGAAGGAAAAAAACTAAGGGATACATTAACAATTTATCACCAAAACTGTTGCAATAGTTATCAAATGATGACTCTGACAGACTTACCTCTTCGACGTTGCGAGGGCTGATGAGATCCAGAACAAGAGACAGAGTTTCTTCCTGACCTCGAGATCGGGGCTGGCCAACACCCGCAGGATGTCCATCACCAGATCCTGAAGGACTCGTTCGTGGGCCGGGACGTCTTTCAGGGTCATCAGCCGATCGAGGACAATTAGCTTCACGTTGTTGTCGCTCTCCTTGACGATCAGGTCAATGTAGCACTGAGCCGCTGCCTGGATCGAGAGGCAAGTTTTTCCACGTTACTTCCTCGCCTCAATAGTTCAACATTAACTCCTATCTCGCCCCCAACTTTCACATTCCCCCATCTTCCCTCCCCATGCTTGCCCTTGTCCTCCCTTCCCCCCCTACAGACCTTGATGGCAGTGGGCGAGGAGGAGAGGGTAACCAAGGTACCGGCCGCCTCGTAGCGGACAGCCGGACTAGACGACTGGAGCAGGTTGTAGATGCACCTGATAAACCTTGACCTTTCACCCGGGTTTGCATGGCACACCTGAAGAGTGACAAACCAAGCAATTCACACATTTACATTATTGTGTTGCTTGCCAAAGAAATACTGACCACACCCACTATGGTTTGACCTCTGACCTTGTAGACCAGTTCCACGATGACCAGCTGAAGAATGTCGTTAAACTCGTTCACCTGGTCGATACAGGTCGTCAGGTAGTCTAGAGCTCGCTCCTTCGCAGGGAGAAAGGAGAGAGGAGAGAGACAAAACTAAGTCCAAGACATCGGCTTTACACGAGTTCTCATTATTAGCAGTTTGCATATTAGTTGGTGCAAAATTTTCTCTAAATTCCTCTTTAAAGCTTATAAAGACATCTATTTTCAAATTTCGGCACACTCAACTCTTCCTCTAAATGAGGCACTTATGAAAAAATTTTCCTCCATTCTAAAATGTTGAGTAGCTGTAGGAATGTCTTACTCGGTCGACGTGGATCAGCATCATGAAGGCATTCCTCTTGCACGAGGCGTCCTGCTCCCCTTCCAGGTAGGAATGGATCAGCTCCGGGGCGTCTGGGATGAGCTGGTCGAAATTCCTGTTGGAAATACAGTTTCATTTTAACACTTTCCCAGATCCCCCATATTTAGCCTTCCTAATAAAATACAGGCTGTATTATACAATGACAATATGCCCTGTCAATCCACTACATTTACACTCTCCATGATATACGAAGGAACCCCTTAAATCACTGTTTATTTCCTACAGTCTCTCCCCTCTCCCCTCTCCCCTCTCCCTTCTCCCCTCTCTCCATTTCCTCACTTGAAGATGGTGTAAATGGCCAACACGGCGTTCCGTCGTACGTAGGCGTGTCTGTGTTCCAGACAGGAACGGATCGAGGGCATGAGAGGTTCGAGGAGTTCCGGCTCCTTCAGTTTGCAGAGGAACCTCAGAGTTGAGCCTCGGATGAACTCATTTGGGTGTTGAAGATCCTGCAGCATTCACAGAACACATAGACACACACACACACACACACTCACATTTCAAGCAACACTAAGGACCTATAGTTGTTAGTGAATGTCTCCCAAAACTACATGGTAGTAGGTCCTTCTAACCTTGCGGTAGGCGTCGCACACCAGAATCATCTCGTGCAGCAGTTTTCCATCGGGTGACGTCTTGGGCCATATCTCCCAGACCAGCAGAAGCAGTTTCTTTATCTGGTGGTCGTTACACGGCAACACGAATCTGATTATCACCATGAGGAGCGCCGGGAGACGCTCGCCGCTCAGAACCAGCTGGATGACCTTCTTCAGCGCCGTCGCCTTCAGTCTGTTGTCACCGTGCTCTGTGCAAGCCCGAGACAAGAGAGTGGGCTCTAATTAGAGTAATTTCTCCGCGCTCACCTAAATCGTTCCGCAACTGTTGCTCGTTGGGTATCTCCGTCTCGGAGGGGTTGTTGATTAGCGTGTAACACGGCTGCTCCGCCATTTCTCTCCCTCAACGACTTGCAAACGGCTCCACCAAAAATCCACGCACGAGCAAGCGCGAGACACGCGGTGGCTCTTTCGCTAAATTAGAGAATAATATCGAAACATCGGGAGCGCATTTTGTGTAAAGAAGAGCAGTGCTGCTAGCTAGAAGTGTAGGGATCAGGGGATGGATATACTAAAGGAGCTGTTCGGCACCAGCGACGAGCTGCAGATCAGCAAGAGCCTGTTTGGAGGAGACGGCGGCGCTGGTTCTGAGGAGCTGGTTCTCGGTACGCCTTCTCTTGCACCTGTGTCTGTATCGATACGTACAATCTGTCCCGCTTCTGAATGGTTTTAGATGCGCTTTGTTTCTGCCAGCCTGTTTTGAGCAGTAAACCAGGCTCTTTAGCTATATTGTCCTTATATGTACATATAGATAATCCGCCTGTGAGTCCGTCACGTGACTACCTCTCCAGTAGACCCCTCCCACTCCTTCCGGCAGAGCCACGCCCCCAAATTGCAGCGACATCGTTGCTAATTCGGAGCCAATCATTGGACGATTTACACGCTCCCTCTAGTAATGACGTCGACAACCTTTTCAGGTAAATGTTCCTCCAGAACACGTCTCGTTCAGAACACCTCCCCTCTCCCTCCCGTAGACCCGATGTTCTGAGAGCTCAGTCGGTGTTTCCTCAACTGTCTGAGACTGGATCCAGTAATCACGGTATGAAATAAATTCTATCAGCAATGACGGGTTATGCATTCATCGTGTTACTCTTCTCAGTCAACCTGCATAATGTTCCTCACGAGATGCCAATGTACCTACTGGAAGACGACGAAGGAAACGATGAAGAAATAATGAGACTACTGGAGACCACAACGGACTCCACTCCGAACCGTAGTGGTACCTCCAGTGGCACTGGTGGTACTCCCAGTGGTACCGCCACACCACCAAACGGAATATGTAGTAGGAACGTCACAATAGAGATGGTTGCCATGGAAATTGTCGCCATGGAAACCGACGAGTCACTCGGGGACGAGGACAGAGTTGTCGTGGAAACGGAAGAGGCGGGGTCGATGGACATCGGTCCTGTGCTAGAAGACGAAAACATGGGACCTTTTGTGGGTATGAGTGTGGAGGTGACTGAAATAGATGAGTCTTCTGCTGTAGCCGTCCACGAATCAACATCAGAAATGGCATCTTCTCGCCTGTCTCCTTCCTCTCCCTCTCCTCCTCCACTCCCTTCTCCCCCTCCCGTTTCTCTCCCCGCTCCCTCTCCAAAGACCGTCGTCTCGCTCGAAACTCAGACACCATCTGAAACTATTTCTTTGTCCTCTCAGTCTCCTTCTCCTACTTCCTCAACCTCTCCTCCCTCTCCGAAGAGTGTCAATACTCAACCATCATCTAGCCCTGCCTCTAGAACTTCTCATCAAACAAGACCACCATCTTCAAGCCTCGCTCCATCTCCCTCACTGAATACACTGGTACCTCCAGTAACCCAAAAATCTTCCCTAACCCCAGCTCATGATGTCAACACAACCACTTCCATCAAACTCAGCAACCGACTCTAATCTTTACTCCCTCTCTCTTCTCCCTCTCTGAGGACATTGGCTTCCTGCCAAAGTGAGCCATCGACCATTACCCTCTCTCCCTCCCCCTTACCTGCCACAGCCCCTCTCCTTTCTCCTCTTCTCTCTACCAAAGTCCTTATTCCTTCTTCTACTAGCTCACCATCGTCTTCTTACTCTGCCAATGTAACTTCACCTAGAGGTGTTTCGACCTCATCAAGAACCCATGCAGTTCCAGAGGAAACGAGTGCGGTCACCACGGCAACAACTGATATCACCACGGAAACGAGTGTTATCGCAGTGGCAAAGACCACACCTACCTTCGTCGCTAGCCTCAATATAGCACATCTCCCTACCATCATACCAGTTGGTAATCCACCATCAGCTACTGCTCTTTCCTCACATCTTCCTCCAGCATTGGCTGGTAGTAGACCTCTGCTGCCATCAGACCATCTTCCTTATTCTCCTCTAGACACACCCTCCCAGTTTCCATGACGACACGTCCGACTCAACTCTGTTTCCATAGCAACCAGACCAGGGGTCAAAGTCTGTCGCCACCTCAATCCATCGTTCGTTCGAAATCTCCCCTTCCTCTCTCCCTCCCCCTCTCACCCCCTCTCCTCTCACTTCCACTACATCAAGCCACGCCCCCTCCAACGAGTATGCAGCAAAGCATTGACCAACTCCGTCTTCAGGTGAGGCTTCAGAGTCAGAAACTAGAACAAGCTCTCAAATCTTTCCTCCCTCAACCGAAACACAAGCCACACCCACCAACTGTTAGCCTTCCGGTTGCATCTTTGGTTGCCATGGCAACATCACCGTTGCCCCCGACGACGACAACTGTGTCGGTTTCGTACCCCTCCCTGAGGAAAGCAGGTTTCATGGGGAACAGTAGAGTTGAAGGGGTTAAAGATGCGTCGTCGTTGGAGACGACCAATAAGGAAAGGGGCAATAGTGATTTAACCCTTGTCTCTACCTCTTCCATTGCTGTACAAGCTAGCTCAACGGAGCGATCCACTAATCTCCCAGTTTCTATGGCTACCGAACAAACCACACCCCCTCAGCCTCCTGAACAACAAATTTCTGTAAACAGTCAAGGATCGGCTGGTAGCCATGATGACATGATCCGTGAAAGCAATGCAGATGATGAAAAGGATATTATTAGTAATGAAAAGTGGGTGTGGCAGTTTCCCTACTGTCTCCACCTCACTAGAAACAGCAAGTGTGTCTAGTGATACAATCGTTGATGGGGAATCCCCTGGAACTAGTTGTCATGGAAACAATGTAACTCCAACTGTTGTAGGGAAGGCAAAATGTGTCTGTGGCGGTACAAACCAAAACCATGGCAACCAGTCAGAGCATGGAAACGGTGACCACAGCCAATACATTCCATCATCACCTAAACTGCTGTCTCCCCTGACCCCATTCCGTTCCACGTTCTCGGTATGTGTCCCGGACATGAACTGGAGAGTCCAGCCTTTCGGGTCAGTTCTTGGGATGAAGGCCCTACCAATCACCATCTTGCCTCCCTCCCCCTCCTCCTCCTCCTCCTCCTCTTCTTCTCTCTCTGACAACTCTGGTGTGAGAGGGTCAGCGACATCATCAGGGGCCTCCTCTGGAGGTCCAGTGAGTGCTGATAGTGAGCCTCAGACACAGAGAGCCAAACGAGTAAGTTATCATCATCACTTACTCTCCAAACTTTCTCTAGATTTTCGTGAGACCTAAGGATTGCGTTCGTTCAAAGCACAATTGCAGTCTTTTTTCTTTCTTTTTTCTAGTTCTAGAGTCAGCAGTTTAGATTTTAGAAGATTATTTTTTGGCTCAGAGTGAAGTAAGAGTACACATTGAACTTTCTGTTTTGCTGCAGAGAAGAAATGGCGGAGGATGGCCGAAGGGGAAGAGGAGGAAGGTCGTCGAGAATAATACCCCAAAACCACCGTCCACTGCGTAAGTCTCTTCCCTCTTTGTTTCATCTTTTTCCTTCCTGTATCTCTATTTTTCCTCTCGTTTCTCATCTCTTCCCTCTCTCTCTTCTTCTTCTTCGTCATCTTGCTCTCTATCTTGATCCCAACTATTGTCTTCTTCCCCTATCTCTCCCTCCCAATTTCTCTATTCGTTTCGTCATCATATCTCCTCTCCTCCCTCTCCCTCATCCCTCACAGCTACAGTCTGTTTCTCTCAGAGCAACGGCAGAAAGGGAAATTTGACTCCATGTCCATGTCACAGCTCTCCAAGACCATTGGGAAGATGTGGGGCCAGCTGCCACCTCAGGCAAAACAGGTTGGGAACTAATACTACCATTTCATAATTTTGCCGCTCATCTTGCATATTATACCATTCATCTGTCTCATACTTTTGTTGCTCATTCTGCGTATATATCTGAAGGAGTATCAGGAGAGAGCAGTGAAGGACAGAGAGAGGTACCTGAATGATCTCAAGACACATCTGACACAGAAACAGAAAGGCAAGACTCTTTTTATGATAATTTCACTACTCAGAAATGATCCCTCCGAAGAAGGTCATCTCCATAAAGATTTCTGCTCTGAATACAGGACGTTTCAGTGGCCCACTAAGTGTCTCGTTTTAAGAGATTTCATTTCAGGACACACTAACAAACTTCCTCCAATCTGTCCACACAGAAAACTCGTCCTGTAATCTGGAATCTGTCAACGATGTCCTGAACAGTCTCGTGTCGACGGCCGAAGATAACAGCGTCCTGCTCTGCCACCTCTGTAAACTGACATTCAACACTCTTCACAACAAACACTGCCACTTCAGCAGCCGCACACACACAGACAGTCTCCTGAGAGAGATGACTAGAGTTATGAGTCTCCAGCAAAAGATTTCACCACCGCCGGGGGGAAATGGTGGCCAGGACGGTCTCCATTCCGTTCCACATGGAACGGAATGTGGGTTGGGGAACGGAGTGGAGTCACGTGGGGAGGAATGTGATACGGAACATGGGAATAAGACCGTCAGGGAAAATGGAACGGAATCGAGACAATGTTCACAAGACGCTACTGGTATGGGGATGGAATTGGATTCGGTGGAATGTGGTGATGGAATGTCAACAGTAGACGATACTGCAAGGAATGATGAAGAGGGGGTGGGAGGTCAAAAGGTCGTTGCCGTGGGAGAGGACTGTGGTATGGAAGATGGGAATCAGACAGTTCCAGCGGTTTCTGATATCACGCAACTGGATGTCCCATCGGACAATGGGACTGCCCCATCTGGTGATGCTCCCGTCCACCAAACCAATAATGATGATGTTAGATATTCACAGACTGATGAAGCCGTCCCTGGTAACAGTCCAGGTTCCATACCAAATCCAGATTCGCAGCTAGTGGAATGGACTCGGGACTATGCAGGAATGCTGACTCGGCTCAAAGAACATGCTGTTGCCATGCAACCACCCACCCCAATCGGAACCAGTCAAACCAGTTTTCTAAACCAGTTCCGGGAACAGGAGCAAGACCTGTTTAAACACATTGACTCTCTTCTCTCTCTCCTCCTCCGCTAGCTGACACCATGAATATGTTTGTTCCAAAGGTATATTTTTCACTTGCCTTTGATCTGGCATTAAAATACACCATGTCACAATAATGATAAACAGATCAATAACATCTGTATAATATTTTCTTTAGAAATTTTGAGTTTTGAAGTTTGAAAACTGTTTTAGCCCATGCCGCAGCATGACACATACTTATATGTACGTGCAAACCAAACAATGGGACTGTTTTACGTGCGCTGCATGCGCAGTTTAAAATGTCAGCATCTCCTTGTGTGTGTGTGTGTGTAACTGATCAGGTTGGTGGTGGTACAATGTGTATAATAATGATGTCATAGTGATGTCATAGGGCCCAGCAAGTCCGGAGGTCTGAAATGAAGTCTGAGTCTGCTTCAGTTTCAATACTAACTCCCTCGTAGTAGTTCTCAAAATCCTGCATCAAAAAATTTTCACAGCCGAAATATTTTTACAAAGGAAGTCAAAAATTATGAGCTTACGGCATAGTTGATGCTCGTGATGGGAGAATGTAGAGACGTTCTGTGGGCGTGGTCAAACCACACCCCCTCCATTTCGCGGCTGTCTTGTCTGTAGAAGCGTTGTATGCTGGTCCGAGTCACCAGCCCATCTTTAGCTGTGTCGAGTTTCTGGAATACCTGTGTATGGAGACATGACTGGTATGGAAACTCCGGAACATGGAGATATGTGACCACATTGAAATATGAAAAACATACAAAGGAAATATGAAGGCATGGAATGAAGACATACAGATATGAAGGTATGGTATATATCATAAACTGGAAAACATAGTGTGAACAAACAGATGAGGTGGTGAAGAGTGCGAGAGACTTACTTTTCTAACGATTAATTTTCTGTCTTCGTTCATCTCCCCCACCAGTCCAGCAATGAGCCTGTCTCTCCTCACCTCCTCCCCCTCACCACCCTCACCGAACTCACCCAGACTCGTCAGCAGCTGCCAGAATGTGCTGAAATCCTAAAGAGAACAGTCGCAGATACGGTGGAACCACTACACCAGTGGGGCAGGAGAAAGTGTCCATATTAGTGAGGTGTCCTCATTTCAAGGGTTAACAGTAAGTGTTCTTGGGGAAAGAAAATGTGTCCTCATTTCAGGGGTGTCCTCTTAGAGAAGGTTCCACCTGGGAAGTCACTATGCTTTACCATACAACATAGGGGGTGTGGTCTGTGCACGAGACTATATACATACCTGACTGCTAATATAGATATGGAACATGTGGACTGCTGTCTTCATTAACTCCTTCCCCACTGAGAGGGAACACTGTTTGGAGATGTGTCTCCCCAGACCAACCAGAGCCTTCCTTGCTCTCCCAACTAGCTGTTCACGAACTGCAGCTGAAGACAGAGAGAGAGAGAGAGAGGGAATCAGTCGACAAGTACACAGAGAGGAGGGAATATTGGTGGAGACCTTGTAGTCTCCTCAGCTGTGCCCAGGCCTGCTGCTCAGGAGGTGAGAGAGGGTTCTTGAGGAACGTGTCTATAGACACACACTCCAGCGGCTTGCGATGGGCACACCTAGGCATTGAAGAGAGCAGACTAAAATGAACGGGCTCATAATCAGTCTCGCTGGCTTACATCAGCTGTCGTTTCTCTCTCTCACTGCATCTAGTTATTCTGAGAGAGAGGAGAGGTCTGGAGGCCATGTAGTCGGGGAGGGAGGGGAGGAGGGAGGTCGGGAAATGAAGGGTGAAACCCTGTTCGTTAGTGGAAATAGACAGAGGTAGAAAGAGAATTAGTCATACTATGCAATTTGTAGGACTCTTTCTCCTTTCAGTTTTCATGGGTGTGTGTGTACTAAGTATAGCGTAACCTTTCTAATGAAGTTAATCTGGTAGGGTTCTCCCCTTCTGTGTCCAACCTGGTGACAGTACACCTTTCGTTGTACCAGAGGCAGTGCTGAAGACCTGACGATGGAATAATCATCACAGACCTCCCATTTTGTAGTCCCAAAGACTCACTTCTTCCCAAACCTCCTGAACTCATAGACGGTGATGGAGCCGTCAGAGAGGAAGAAGAACCCACAGAGCTCTCTGTGCATGTCCCTGCCATTACTGGAGAGAGACAGAGAGAGAGAGTCAAGTTTGTAATTAACAGAGGAGGTTGGATATCTTCCCTTGACTATAGCTAGAGTATGCACTGCAAACAATCTTTGTTGAAACCGGGGTGGCCTAAGGTAGACAGGCCAGCCAATCATCTAGAGGATGCAGTGCAACTGTGCACTATTATGCAGAGTAAACGATCCCTCTTGAAAATTTCAGTTGATTGAGAGAAAAAGATTCACTCACTGGGTCAGAACACGAGCCTCGAACTGGAGTCTCTGAACCAGTCCGGTCTCCGACATCCCGAGTCCAAAGGTCACGTTGCTCTGGAGAGCCCCGCCCACTTTCTGAGGGGCGTGGTCTTGTTGTTGTGTGGGAAGAGGAGGGGGAGGGTGGGGAGAGAGACTGGAAATTGCTCTCTCGTGGGACAGTATCTTGTCCTCTACAAACTTGGCTTGTGTCGCCTGAAAATAGACACAGAAAAGATATATATCATTTCTGAATACAGTGGAACCCCTGTCTAAGGACACCCCTGAAATGAGGACACCTCTCTAATAAGGACGCCTTTTCTTTCCCCAAGAACAGTTCTTGCATGCGATTTAACCCCTGAAATAAGGTAAGTGTACTTGCATGCTACTCAACCCCTGAAATAGGTCAAGTGTATACTTACATCCATGAGTCTCTCTCCTACTTCACTGGTTTCGTCTTCAATCTCCATCACTTGCTCTTCAAAACTGACATCTTTCTCATCTTCCTCTCTCCCTCTCTCCTCTCCTTCTTTTCCTTCCTTCTCTTCATTTGTAAGTTCCAGAGACTGGCTACAAGGTACACCCCAGCTACAGCATTAGAAAGAGAGAGAGGGAGAACGGCCCGATACAAACAGGCACAAAGCTGTGTTATGTTGCCTATATACCTCATAAAGGATCTATTGGTATCTGCTCCATCAGTACTATCACTGTCTTCAATATCGATCAAATCCTGAGTAGACAAAACATTGGTAAGATTACACTACTCATGTTGTGAAGGAATTTTTTCAGATACAGTCAACTTCATTACGTAATTTCAGTTTACAGGACTTCAAAAAGCCAGTTATAATTTCAGTCCTGATTGGAAAATATGAGAATTATTCTGCTCCCACTGATATCAGAATCTTACATCACTAGCTCTCACCACAGGTTTCATCTGGTGATCTGGTTCATTCAGTCTACTGAGATCCAAGAGTGGAACCCTGCAATGAGGGACACCAAATTGAAAATGAAACCAGAGATATTAGTTACTACACTCACCCTTCAGGTAGAGTGGTAGTGACTGTTCTCCTGTATGGCTGAACTTGTTTGACCTTTTGAGAGAGAGAGAAGAAGAAAAAACTGACACTAAATACATTTAAACATCAGCACAGTGTCACTGGAAATTGAGATGCAGAGAAATTGCTATTTATTCTTGATAAGAGCAAACCTGTTTATCCCCTGTTTTCTTGTGACCTTCCTTCCAGGCCTGTTTCTTGGTGAGTACCGGTTTCTGTATCTCCTTCCTTTGTTCCTTTCTCTCTTTTCCTCTCCCTCCTCCTTTCTCTCCCTCTCTCTTCCTCTCCACATTACTCTCCTTCAGTGGTACTGTCTTTAGCTTCCCTGTAATGAGAGAGAGAAGGTGGGTTAGGTTTAAATGCAGACACTGTGTTTGTTGTATGTTCTTCAATAGGCATTCAGACTGCTATCAGTACTTTACAATCCTAAATACACAATTACTAGGAATGCCCAAGCGCATATTTTGCCTCGCGCCTGCCAGCCAATGCGTAAACAGTCCGACTGAGGCCGCTCATGCGCGCGCTCTACTGACTGCGCGCGAAGCCAGACTTCTTACGAATCTGTGCGCACGGCGGAAGCTAGACTTCCTACGAATGACGGAAGTTACACTTCCTTTTGGTGACTAATTGACATTCCTAAGCGTGACTAATTTACATTCCCTAAGCATGACTAATTGAGCGTGACCGACACGTACGTACGGTACGTATATGCGAGAATACAACCCGGAGTAGTAGCCTGCGCTCGGCAACCATGAAAGAAACTAGAACTTTTTTCTTGGTTGTGCTGCATTGTTTGCACTGTACATGCAGTTTACCCACGGTATAAATTTGGATCAACATAAACCTGTATATAGCTATATTCTCAACACTAGAAGTTAGATCATTTAAATTGAGCTTCTATCTATGTCTACGGTGCTATTGTATATAGCTATATGCAGTTACCTGCAATTTAGAGTATAAATTTGGATCAACATAAGCCAGACCTGAGTCAATGTAGGAGTGTTTCTGCAGCAGTTGATGTGTAGACGGCAGCAGGAGACTGCCTCCTACTCCACCAGGCAGGAGCTCCAGAACGGACCTCTTCTTCCTCGGGGCGTGAGGCGTACTAGACAGCCCTTGGCTACCCGTCTTTCTCTGTGACGACTCTTCCTTTGACCTACTGTCCGTCGCAGTGGCAGGAGGTCTGAGTCGCTTCCCGCTAGTGGCGAGAGCCGCGCCGGGAGAGCGAGGAGACAGTTTAGGTGGGGCTCCGGGTTTTCCTTCTCCCCCGCCGCGCCGTCCGGCTCCGAGCGGGAGAGACGGCGGTTGGTAGACACGCTGCTGAGGTCCTCCGTAGCCGGCGTACTGCCAGGGAATCTTCAGCTGCTGAGCCATCCCCGAGTAGTCAGGAGTGGTGGCTACGTGCTGCGCGTTATTTAGAAAACGTAGCTACTGCGTTTGCTTGTCTGTCAGTAGCTCCGTGGAGACAAGGAAGACGATTTACTGCGAAGACAGGGAGGAAGAAAGTGTAGCGAACCCACTATTTCTGTTGCTTTGGATCTCCGTTTCGCTTAGTTTGGAAGTCTTTCTAACATCATTATAATCCTGCTGTTTGGCGCGCGGGTAGTTTCCATGGCAACCACACTTGAGCGCATGCGCAGTAGGTACAGCAACTATAATGCTACCTGAAATCACATTGTAGAATGTAGGTGTATGGTAAAAACGTGTGTATAATATTGAGCCCAACTTGAGCCTTTTTCTACAATCAGTACTAACAAATATATAGACAGTATGCAGCTACTTGACGTACAAGTCAACCAGTTCCACTGCTATGTTGTCACTTGTTATGGAGTCAAGGAGACACATTCTCAGCTCAAAGTCATCACTAGTTGTCTGGTTGA